AAGAAAGCTGTGGATCCTCTTCCTCCACCCCCCCCAAAAAACACACACTTGCCTATACATGAAGGTGGTTCGTGGGCCCCCTACCACCCATCCATGAACCTCCAGGGGGCCCAGGTGTGAACACTCTATTGTGTAAATAGTGAGAGCCGTACACAGTAATCCAGCTTGGCTTTTCCTGAACAGTTTATTGACAAAGACAACAATGTTTTCTATACTATCTTAATAATCAGAGATTTTTGAAGATTAGTTGGGTGGCGTATTGCTGCTTAATAAATTACCCCAAAACTTAGTGACTTAAGATAACAGTTTATTACTTCACAGCTTCTGAGGGTCAAGAATCTGGGAGTTCTGGCTCAGGGCCTGTCAGGAGGAGATTGCCCATAGAATGCTGGTCAGGATTACAGTGAACAGAGGGCTTATTTGGGGCTGGGGGACTTGCTTTTAAGTTCGCTCATGTGACGGCTCCTCACCATGTGGGCCTCTCCAGAGGGATGCTCATGACTTAGCCCAGAGTGAGTGATCCTAATAAAGGAAAAAGTGCTCCAGACAAAAGTTGCAATGTCTTTTTTTTTTTTTAAAGATTTTATTTATTTATTTGAGAGAGAGACACACAGCGAGAGAGGGAACACAAGCAGGGGGAGTGGGAGAGGGAGAAGCAGGCTCCCCGCAGAGCAGGGAGCCCGATGCGGGACTCGGTCCCAGGACCCTGGGATCATGACCTGAGCTGAAGGCAGTCGCTTAACCAACTGAGCCACCCAGGCGCCCCTGCAATGTCTTTTATAGACTTAATTTCAGAAGCAACAAACCAACACTTCAGTATTTTTGGTCAAAGACCAACCCTGGTATGAGTTGGGAAAGTGCAGGTATGGATAGCGAAAGACAGCCTCCCTGGGGGCCATTGGAAGGCCGGCTACCACAAGCATGGAGGTGGTGGTGGTTTTGAAAGCTGGGTTGCTGCTTTTGTTGCCTCACATCAGTGAGGTTTTGTGTTAGTCAAAGAGCTGGGTTTCATAAATTCACAGTAAAGTTATCGATACATTTTATAAAATCGTTTTCCTTCTTCCACTTTGCCTTCCTTTCTCCTCCCTTGTCTGTTGCCGTTGGCCATGGGAGTGTGATGTTTCTTCCAGTGAATCGACTGAGTTGATTTATTAAGCAGATGTGTGTTCATTGCTTAGAAAAACCAGTTGGCAGAAGTGCCTTGTGCTAGTGAATATCATCCTTTCTAAAGAACCACCACCTGATGCTTTAGCCAAGTTCGCTGTAGGGCTCCTGTAAAAAGGATACGAATTAGGTCTGTTCAGTCGGAGGCCCGGGCAGGGATGATGCTGAGCCTGGAGGGTCTGGAATAGAGAAGACGTGGAACTGCACACGGTGAGCCCCAGGGGGGCAGAGACCGTGCTGATCTCACTCTTTTGTGAACCCCCCAGGATTAGATGCAGTGCCTGGCACAGAGAAGACCCCTGGAATGGTGCTAAGGAAGAGGGAAGGGAATGTCAGCCAGGGGCCAGGCTCTGCCCCTCGGTGCTCACGGCTCCTTGGTTCAGTCATTGTTCAAGACTGAAATACAAGGGAAGGCAGGTACTAGTGTTCCTGTTCTGTAGGAGGAGAAGTGGTAGCTTAGAGGGGTTAAGTAACTCCCAGCATCACCCAGCTCATGGCTGTGGACCCAGGCATGCCTGACTGGCTTTCTTTCTGTACCCAGGTCTGGGTCCCAGTCTGGGGCCTGACCTGCCACGGGTGTTCACTTCATCCAGGATGATGACAGGAAAGCAGCCTAACACAGCAGGGTGACAGATGCGGGGAGTCTGGAGAACTCACTGTCAGTAACCTGGGAAATTAAGAAATGGTTTTCTTCTGGAACAAAAAAAAATTGCTAGAAATAGGGAGTGGATATAGAGTTTCAGCGCCCTCAAGACTCACGTTTGGCTCCGTATCTGTGACTGACAGAACCTGGTTAACATTTCTCAAGCACTTCCTCTGTGCCAGGAACTGTGTTTCTAGTCCTTAAATCTGGTTCCCATTTATACTTACTATCAGTATGTCCATTGTATGGATGAGCAAACTGAGGCTCAAAGTTCAGGAACTTGCCAAAGCCACACAGTTCGTTAACGGAGATGGGATTTGACCTAGACAATCTGGCTCTGCACTTACCTTCTTATTCTGTTAGAATCACTGTGCTAAACAGCATGTTTTATTTTTTTTAAAAGATTTTATTTATTTATTTGACAGAGAGACACACAGCGAGAGAGGGAACACAAGCAGGGGGAGAGGGAGAGGGAGAAGCAGGCTTCCCGCCGAGCAGGGACCCTGACGTGGGGCTCGATCCCAGGATCCTGGGATCATGACCTGAGCCGAAGGCAGACGTTTAACTGGCTGAGCCACCCAGGTGCCCCTAAACAGCATGTTTTAAAATGAGGAGAAGGTCCTGAAGGGGGAGTGAGATTGCCTGTCCCTACCCGGGAAGGGACCATATTAATTGATGGGAAACTAAATATGGTCCAAAGAGATTTCGTTCTGAGAGCTCACTGAGTAGGCTCCTCAGATCAGGAACTAGTAAGGAAGACAGACAACAAAGGGAGCTCTAAAGATTTTAATGCTGCAGGAAATAACTTGCATTTAAACAATCACCTTGCTTCATCTTGTAGACCGATCACATGCCATTTTTTTGTTCATTTAATTGCTCAGAAGAAAGGGACAGGTGTGAACTGTTGTATTCATTTTAAAGCCTGAGACATATTGTAGCCAAATTCTAAATTGTTCAGAAAGATTTGACTTTATTGAAAGAGAGAGAGAGGAAGACGATCTTTGCCAGTATCTCTGGCCAGTTAGCTAGCTATACCTTTTCTTATTTGAAAAATGATTTGGGACCACTTAAAAAAATTATGCGCTGTTGTTCAATAGGAGATAATAAACGAAGAAATCAGAATGGGAAGAAAGTAAAGGCAGGAAAATAAAACTGGGGGGTCGTTTAGCACACAGAAATTCATCCCAAAGTTTGCTAGAAGCAGAGATGAAATTTTGGGTTTATACTTCTTAGCAGTCAAAGCAAAAAGGAAACAAGATCCATTAGAAAAATTTGGGTATCTACAAGGTAGAAATGAATAAACACAGCTTTTTTTTTTTTTAAAGATTTTATTTATTCATTTGTGAGAGAGAGAGAGGATGAGCAGGTGGGGGGTGAGGAGCAGAGGAAGAAGCAGACTCCCGGCTGAGCAGGGAGCCCGATGCAGGACTCGAACCCAGGACCCTGGGACCATGACCTGAGCTGAAGGCAGACGCTTAACCGACTGAGCCACCCCGGGGCCCTAAACACAGCTTTTGCTGATGCGGTTGGAACACAGTGAAATCATGAACAACTTCCTAGTGGCATCCTCAACTAGACAATATCAGGTTCCATAAGACAATTTCTTACCAGAATCTATTAGTTTCCTAGGACTGCCACAACAGAATACCACAGACTGGGTGGCTGAAACCACAGAAATTCATTTTCTTCTAGTTCTGGAGGCTGGAAGTCCAAGACTAAGATGTTAGCAGGTTTGGTTCCTTCCAAGGCCTCCCTCCTTGGCTTGCAGATGGCTGTTTTCTTACTGTGTCCTCATATGGTCATCCCCCTGTACACCCGTCCCTGGTCTCTGTCCAGATATCTTCTTATAAGGACACTAGTCAGATTGCATTAGGACCCATTTTAACTTAATCACCTCGTTACAGGCCTTACGTTCAAGCACAGTCACATTCCGAAGTACGAGGGGTTAGGTTTTCAATATATGAATGTTGTGTGTGGGGGGATGGGGGGAATGGGACACAATTCAGTCCCTACCTAACAGCAACCTGTAATAGAGTGCCAAACTTAATTTGGTTAATACAAGTCCACGAGGGTCCATAGAGAGTGGTCCAAGCTTGTAGGTTTCTGCAAGATCTTCCTCTGTCCCAGGATAAGGAGATTCAGGATATGTAGGAGACTCAATAAATACACATTCATCAGGCATGGGCCATGAGTGTTTTTCTGTTACCAAAGTGTCTGAGAAGAACTGATCCCTAGGAGCCTTACTTAAGCCACGTGGTCCTGTTTTGCTTGAATAACACCTGGTGCCCACAGTCCCACACTATCTCTGGCCCCTGAAGGCCATATAAACTTTAGGTAAGGTGCTAGACTCTGCATATGGAGATCTTGTGCAAAAGATGGGGGGTGGGGGGGAGTAAGTAAGACTTTATCTTTGTATTTGCTGGAAGAAACTAAAATCAGTGGTTACTTCTGCAAGGGGGGTAGGAACTGGGTGGATAGGAAAAGAATGGGAGAGAGACTTTACACAGTATCTTTTTCTCATATAGAAAATACATTCTCTTTTTGGGGCCTCAGGTACACAGAATTGGATTGATTATAATCCCTGGTTCATAACATGCCCTCATCCTTGATCTGTGCACAATTGCCTTTTGTTTTATTTATATATGCATGAATTCACGTGAGCCCGCCACCCAATGCTAAAACGAGAACATCACCAACACTCTTTTTGTGCATTCCTAATCCTATCCCCCTCTTCCCTTCAGAAGTGACCGCTATCCTGATTTTTTTTTATATTAATGATCTCCATTCACCTTTCTGAGCTTGCATTATTTCAAATGACCTGTGGGCTCTTTGGGATTTTCACATAGATATCATATCCTCTGCCTTTGGGGGTTCGGAAACATTTAACTGCACTAGCCACTCACAAATTTCAATAAAATGCTTCTAATCTCATGATTCATGGAAGCCGATGAGACAGGAGGCTCACGGAGCACACCAGACACAGTAGCTCCCAACCCCAGGTCCCGATGTTGGAGAGATAGCCTCCTCGAGAATGGGCACCACACACAGTCATTGCCTGCCTGGTCCCCGAGGGCCTGGGGACCCCTGGACACTACACTGCAGAGGATGTGATCATACCAATCTGATGTGGTGACACCGGGGTGATGTTCCTGAGATAACAGGTGTGTCTGCCTCTCCTTCCCTTGTCATTTAGCTTTCACCATCAACCACATCTACATGGAGATCCTGCCAGGACAGGAGGTGCAAAATGGGGAGAACCTGACCTTGCAGTGCATCGTAGACATCAGCACCACCTCGCACATCAAGCCTCAGCACTGGGTGCTCTTCTATAAGGATGACGTGCTATTTCACAATGTCTCCTCCATGGAGACCACCGAGAGTTATTTTATTCCCCAAGCCCGGGTCTATGACGCAGGGACATATAAATGCACCGTGATTCTGAACAACAAGGAGAAAACCACCTCGGAGTACCAGGTGTGGGTGAAAGGTGAGTCCCTGCATCTGAACGGAGCTCAAGTAGATGCACTATCACACGCGCAGTAGCAAGAATAGTAATTGAATGGCTGGTAACACAGGCCCCAGCCTTCTCACTCCCCTGCCTGGCATTTTCCTAACCCGAAAATGTAGGCGTTAGACGTGCTCCCAATATGCCAGGCTGTATCTCCTCTCCTCGCCTTTGCATGTGCTGTTCTCTCTCCTGGGAATACCCTTCTTCCTCTCCTCTCCTTCCAAACTGCTTTTCCTCCTTCAAGACTCAACTTGATGATCTCTTCTCTAACACTTCCCCAAGCAAAATCGATCACCCCCAGGGTCCTGGTCCTCACAGCTCCTGTGCAATCTTGACATTCAGTGGTATTTGTAGGACGGCCATAGGCTGAGTGTTGACATTGGCTGCCACAGTCACTCTGTCTGGAGTCCAGTTTGGGCAAGTCCCTCAGCCTCTCTAAACTTTAAAGTTCTCATCCGTGAAATGAAGATAATAGTAATATCCAGCTTGGGGAGTTATTGGAAGGATTAAAAGGTAAAGTGCTTAGTATAATTTCCAGCACATAATAAGTTCCCAATAAATGGCAATTACTATTCACCGTATTGGAAGTGTTTCTCGCCCACCCGTCTGCTCTTCTGGAATGTACGATCCCAAGGAAAGAGACGGGGTTTGGTCCACTTTTGTATCTTGAACAAAGAATCTGGCTCATAGTAGGCACTCAATAAATGATCGTGGAATAAATTAAACAGATGGAAAAGGGAAGTACAAATGGAGAAACGAGGGAAATCATGGGGAATTTGGGTTTAGAGATACAGGATTCCATCCATCCACTCATGGATTTACTCCCTCAAGAAGCATTTCCCAAGGCTGCAAGTCAGGAAGAAAACCAGGTGCAGGACATGACAAGGCATCAGATCGGGGCCGGCTCTGGAGGCAGTTGCTATCTGGTGGGGAAGAGAAACATTTACAAAAATAATTACAATCTAATAATCATATGATCTGAGTGCCATAGGGAGCACAAAAGTGAGAGGAAACAGTTCCTCCTGGGGAAATTAGGGCTGGCTTCCCGGAGGAAGGGACACTGGGTCCTGATACAGAGGATCGCGTAGGAGTTTGCTCGATGGTGAAGTTGAGCAAGGGCAGAGGAGTGGAGTGTAGCATGGGTGGAAAGCAGAGGCTGAGAAAGAGCGCAGTGTCCCAGCAGAGTGCCCCTCGGTCAGATCCCCCAACCTTTGGAGTCTTGACGTGACGAGGAAAGATTGGCAGGGCTGAATTTGGGGTATGTTGTTGAAAAGAAACGTGCTGGCAGGCTTTTGAAACTTCGGGTAATTTTTCTTACAACTTGGATGACTGAATGGATAGAGTTAGTGAGGTGAGCCCTGTACTTCCTTGACAGTGGCCGTCATCACTGTCATTTCTGCCTTTTTGTGTTCCTGTTGGTCATCAGAGCAGTCATTCACATTCTTGTCACTTCCCGTGGTAAGAACTGCCCCCTTATGAAGTCAACAGTTGGAAGTGCTTTACGCACATTTCATTTAACCCCTGCCAAACGTGGTTCCCCCCCATTTCTAGGGGCAGACACAGGCTCAGAGAGGTTGAGCGGCATGTTCATGCCTCGGAGTTGCTCCAAGGCAAAGCTGATTAGAACCAAGAACTCTTGGACTCCAAAATTGGCCTCCCTAACTCTTAATCATTATTAAGGTCTTCGAGATAGACGAAAGCCCATTCATTTGTTCATTAAACATTTATGGCGTCCCGCTCTGAGCCAGGCTGAGGGCGCAACAATGAGGAAGACATGAGCCTTCCTTGGGGGAGATCAGCGTGAGGCAGGGGAATACTTTCTCGTAAACAGCTACCCCCAGAGGTGACAATAGTGGTATGAATACAGTATACGTCACCTTCCCAAGAGGATGGCCATCGTCGCTATAGCTCTAGGCATCAAAACAAAGATTCTTGAGTCACAAGCAACTGAGTGAGGTGGCAGGTTTACAATATAAGCTAGTCTGTTTGACTCTTAAGGTGTAAGGTGGAGCTCATGACCACCAGACCACAGAGCCTGAACAAGACATCCAGTCCCAGCCAGACCCTCCTAGCTCCCCGTCATCTGATCCTGGCTCACCACTTAATATATACCTCCCCCCACCCAACCCTTTTCTTTGCTCTAGATGGCCCTCTGGAAAAGTCCCTCACATTCCTTGTCCCCATGCACTTGCACCCTGAAATGCCTGTCCTTAGCCCCCATCCACTCTTGTCAGCCCAAATAACACCCTTCCTCCAAGATTGCTCTCAGGCCCTGTTCCTTCTAGAACCTTCTCTGATCCCCCAGGCAAAGAGGGCCTCCTTTTTCCTGACTGCTCCATCACTCATTATCTCTGCAACACATTCTTTTTTTTTTTAAAGATTTATTTATTTCTTTATTTATTTGAGAGAGAGAGAATGAGAGACAGAGAGCATGAGAGGGAGGAGGGTCAGAGGGAGAAGCAGACTCCCTGCCGAGCAGGGAGCCCGATGCGGGACTCGATCCCGGGACTCCAGGATCATGACCTGAGCCGAAGGCAGTCGCTTAACCAACTGAGCCACCCAGGCGCCCTCTGCAACACATTCTAATGCATAGTTATTTTTCAGCTTTGCTTTTTTGAACTGGGAGGCGATGTATCCTTCCTCTCTCCCACCTCCCATGCCCACCCCAACTTCTGGCTTTGGAGTCAGACAGACCTGGAGTCGAATCTCAGTTCTGGGGCTTGATGGCTATGAGCTTTTGGATGAATCTTGCACTTCTCTGAGCTTCACCTTCATCTGTAAAATAGGCACAATTTTATCTTTCATGCCCACCCAGGAGATTATTATGAGAATGGACATGAGGTCATGGATATAAAGTCACTCCTAGCTTGTGGTTGGCAGTCAATAAATTATAACAACAACCACAGTAATGCTAATAGATACTGGCTGTTTTGTTTTGTCTTTAATTGTATCAGTTGGGAAGACTTCTCTTCCCAATGGGTTTATTAACTTTGAAGGCACCAACCGCCCCTTAAACATACTTCATATTTTTCATAGTAGCTGGTATAGCTCTAGGCGCATACAGGCTCGATAATTACCTGGTAGGTAGCACTGAGGTTCTGGGAACAAAGCAAAAGACCCTCAGATGGGCCTACCACAGTGACCCAGGTGAGGGAGGCTTGCATATCTACAGCAAACAATACTAACGGAGTTTTTCTTCCCTCCAAGGAGTGTCTGATCCCAGAGTGACACTGGACAAGAGAGAGGCAATAGAAGGCGGGGTCGTGATGGTCAATTGTTCCGTCCCAGAGGAAAAGCCCCCAATACATTTCACAATTGAAAAACTCAAACTACATGCAAACGGTTTCAAGCAAAAAAGAGAAAAAAAAAAAAGTTCTTATAACCAGAATTTTGTGATGCTGGAATTCTCAGTGGAGGAACAAGACCATGTTATATACTTCCAGTGCCAAGCCACGATCTTTTCTGAGAACCACATGGAATACTCGAGAGCCATCAAGAGTGAACTGGTCACCGTGACGGGTCAGAGTCCTAAACTCCTTTTTAAAAAAAATTACTCTTTCTGGTTTGCTGGTTGGGGAAGGGGAGAAAGAGCCCAGAATTCAGAAAGGGGGCTGGGGCCATCTGGCTGGACTGCTGTTCTCAAGACTGTTCTTAACCACTTAAAGGCTATGTTTATCGTTTAACGTGTGTGTGTGTGTGTGTGTGTGTGTGTGTGTGTGTGTGAAATTTCCCAAACAAAAGCTTCACAAATCATCTTAATATATGGGGCGTTTGGGTATTTTCTATTCTATTCTACTTCAGTGTTTTAAACCACTGGCCATGACTCAGGGAAGCAATGCATCATAGAAACCACAGCTTTAAGCCAATGTGGGTCAGATGCCAGGAGGTGGAGTCTGGAGGGGATCGGGAGGGAAGGGGGTCCAGGTCCTCAACCTTTGCCTCCCACATTCGATAAAGGACTCCCCTCTTCTACCCACCCCTCATCACCGAGGCGTTGGACAAATAAGAAACCAATGAGGTGGACTGAGGCGTGCTCTCTGTAGAGAAAGGCCATAGCAGAGAGAAGCCTGGATGCACGTGTCCAGGATGAAGGGAGCTCTGGGACAGGCAGCCCGTAGAACGGGACAGGACTCGCGAGCCGGGAAGAGTCGGGAAGGCACACTCTAGTGCAGATAGCCTCTAGTCTTATCTGTAGGAGCCCCAAGGTTTATCATAGATACCTTCTGCTTGTGGTCCCTACCTATGTCACCCCCACTCATTGTGTATGGATATATGTACACATATATACAGGGATGATAGTACGTATGTATAATATTTTTCTGATTATAGTACATGATGTGGGTTCAGTTTTCAGAAAACATGGTACAATATAAAGGGTAAAGTGACAATCATTCATAGCCCCACTGCACAGAGAAAATGACTTGTATGGTCCTAGACTTGCTCTGCTTATATGATCACGCACACACACTTTTTGTTTTGTTTTTCTTTGTTTTGACAAAAAATACAACCTGCCAGACATACTATTTTATGACTTTCCCTTAACAGCATGTTACGGACTTTTGTCCATATCAAGACATACAGATCTCGGTCATTTTTGTAGCATCTCAGAATCCTATCATAGGGATGTACCATGATTTACCTCATTTTTCCAATGATAGACAGTTAGGTATTTACCCAGTTTTTTTGCTATTAAAACAATCCTGGAATACACACGCTTAAACTTACCATTTGCGTACTTTTTGCGAGTATTTTGTTTCATTATTATTTATGAGGTTGATTCCTGGCGGTCAAATTGTTGATCAGATGTTTTGTGCATTTGAAATATTGATGGGTATGGCCAAAGCACTCCTCAAAATGGTTAAACATTTCCATCAAAGGTGATGCTGGTGTTTATTTTCCCACATCCTTACTCTCACAGAGTATTATCTACTTTCATTATTTTTGCCAGTCTGATTGAGGCACACACAGTGTTATATCATTGTTCTTATGATTTGTATTTCTTTGGTCTTTCCTAAGGTTGAGTATGTTCTTTGCGTTTATTGGCCTCTTACATTTCCCCCTATAAACTGCCTGTTCATATACACTTGGCCCATTTTTACTGTTTCTGATTGATTTGTTTGAGTCCTTTATAAATTAAAGGCATTAGCTCTTTGTGGAGAACTATGCAAATATTTCCCCGAGTTCGTCATTTGTCTTTATGATAAGTTTTTTAGGCAGAAGTGTTTCATCTTTATTTAATTGAATCTATCCATTTTTTTCTTTTTGGCATTTTGGTTTCATGATTCACACCTAAAGCTTATCAAGGATTATAAAAGTTGGGGTGCCTGGGCGGCTCAGTCGGTTAAGCGACCAACGGTCATGATCTCAGGGTCATGAGATCGAGCCCCCTCCCTCTCCCTCTGCCCCTCCCCCCTGCTCTCGCGCTCTCTCTCAAATAAATAAATAAATCTTTAAAAAAAATTGTTAAGGTAAAAATGCACCTATGTTTGCTCTTACTATTTTCAATGTGGGGTGGTTTTTTTTCTGCATTTAGATCTCTGGTCATCTGGAATTAATTAGGGTGTAAGAAAAAAACCCTTTAGTGATTATTATGCTTCTCCAGAGGGCAGTTGTTGTCCTCTCTTTTTTGACTTGTATTCAGGACAACAGACTTTTTTTTTTTTAACGATAGCTATTTATTGTGAAGTTAAATGACTTCGCAGTAAAAAAACTAATGAATTAAAGTATATCACTCTAAATCCACTTTTGGCATTTTTAAATGTCCCATTTGATTTTGCAGAGTTGGCAGTCTGCGTGTGCACTCTAACACTCTGCAATTTGTTTTGCAGAAGCAAAGGTTTGTCCCTACTTCTCTTACCATCTCCTGAAGATCCTGTCCCCTGGCACCCAACCCATCCTTTATTAAAGCAGCGTTTTTCAAACTGCATGAGTCATGAAATCAATTTAGTCAGTCAGGCCAGCATTAAACAACAGTAGAATAGACTATAAATCCCTTTTGGGTGGGGGCATACCGTTATTTAAATGTACATTTCCATGAAGTGGCAGAGTCTACATCATTGTCAGTTTTGAAAGCTATGGAATATTTATACTGAAACGCCATAGTTCCGTGAAATGGTGTGAGAGGAGCCTAGACAATTCTTAGTGGGCAGGGGCAAGAGTCTGTTTCTAATGCTGTAATTATTTTTGAGGTCATTTGAAGAAGATTCTGCAGATGAGATCTAGAGAAGGTGGTTTCGCCTTTGGGAAGCTCAAGGGAGGATTGCAGTTTAGAAGGCTGAAGATTCGAGAATGAGTGAGAAGGGAGAAGTGAGAAGCTATCAGAGCAACTTAGGAGAAGGTTTTTGGGAGGAAAGATTGAATTTTTTTAGTTAATAAGGAAGCACAGTGGTTGGCAACAAAAAAGCAAAAAAGGGAGGACGTAAGTGCCTCTTCCCCTCACCCAGGTTTAAACCCGAGTCCAACCAGCGTGTCCTCTTCTTTTAGAATCCTTCTCTAATCCCAAATTCCACGTCAGTCCTGAAGGAGTGATCACAGAAGGAGATCAGCTTCACATTAGGTGCACCATTCAAGTGACGCATCTGGTCCAAGCATTTCCAGAAATCATAATCCAGAAGGACAAGACGATTGTAGCATACAAGAGCCATGGCAACGAGGCCTCCTACTCAGTGATGGCCATGGTGGAGCACAACGGCAACTACACGTGCAAAGTGGAAGCCAGCCGGATATCCAAGGTCAGCAGCATCGTGGTCAACATAACAGGTAAGGCTGCTGCTGGAGGGTGTGGGAATATGGCGGGCTCGAGCAGCCACCATGCTGGAATCCAGAATGGCCAATGAGGGCCGAAACTTCTGCTCCTGCTTGTTTGTCTGATGTGCTCAGGTGGGGGTGTGGTGCTCAAGGGGGGAAGTCGGTAAGCAGTTAGCTGTGGTGGTTGAGTGTGCAAGGTCTGGCATCAAATCCCAACACTGTCACACGCTACTTTGGCGACCTTAGGCGAGTTACTGAGCTGCTCTGTGGTACAACTCTATGAGATGGGGGAAAATGACAGCACTCAACCTGTAGGACTGTTAAAATGACTAAGTGACATGACTCTGCTATAAAGAGCCTCATACAGAAGAAGCACTCTGTGAATGTTAGCTAGTATGTCTGTTATTACACTACATTTATCTTTCCTCTGTGCCAAGCACTAAGCTAAATCCCAGACACAGGTCCTAAGACAGGGTCAGGAGTGAGAAAGCATTAATAAATTCAAAAACAATAGTAACAATTCTTTTTTGTTGAACACTGTTTGGTTTACCTACATTTTCAGTTCATGCTTGTAACAATGCTATGAGATAGGTATCATGATTCTGCATTTATGGATACGGAAATTGAGGCTGAGATGTTAGGTCACTCACCCAGCGATCACAGGGTTACCAGATGGCAGAACAAGAATCATTCCCAGGCCCATTTGACTTCCAAACCCATGCATTTAAAAGTTCTATTGGACTCTTTCCCCCCTTTCCTGGATTTACATCTCTCCATAGTACCTATTGCCAAAAGAAATATACTCTACCTCTTCCTGTTTCTTTTATGTACCCAGGCACTAGAATGTAAGCCAATGAGAACAGGGACATTACCAATTTTATTCAGTGCTATGTCCTTAAACACCTAGAATAGTGCCCGGCACATCCAACAACATATTTGTTGGATGAATGAATGAACATTGGATGACAGGGTTTCTGAGGGTAGAGAGAGTCAGCACTTCTTGGTTGCCAAATGGAGATGTTCATTCATTCCTTCATTTACTGAAAGCCTTCTAAGTGTCAAGCATTGAGTGTAGAGTCACAGAGACAATCCACAGTATCACAGGTAGGCTGCCAACTTCCCAACTTCCCAATTGGCAAATGTGTTGGATCCTGCCAGTCTTCAGTGTGTACTAGCAATTTATCATTGATAATGACAAATATCTTGATGGTACATGATGTTTTTCACTGATAAGACATATTATCTCATTAGAGAAAAGTATTCAATTCAACATACATTGAGTACCTTCTGTATGCTGGGCAACTTATTGGGGATAGATAGCTGTCTAAGGTCAGTCTTTGCCCTTGAAGAATTCACAGACGTAAATAGACCATTCGAATGCAATGTCATGAACAAGTACAATAAAGGGATGGGCATACTGCTGTGAGAGCAACAGGGACCAAGTGGTGAACCAACTGACTCTTGCATCAGTCAGAGCAGCATCCTTACCCATCAGGCCAGGCTACTTGAGGAAAGCATAAAGCATCATTGGTCCCTAAGATACTACTGTTGTGTTAATTAGACACCCAGAAGTCTGTATCATGTCGAGTATGCAAGTCATTCAGTAGATCAGTCTCCCTGGCCCAAGATAGCAAAGTGTTAGACTCAGCCTGCCCTTCCCATCCCTTCAGCCTGAGCGCTCTGTGATCCCGAGCTCTGACCTTTCCACATGGAGCTAACTGAGCCACACCAGGGCTGGCAGGCAAGCATCCTCATGTTCAAGTTCTACCAGGCCTTTGGAAATGTTTCCAGGCCCACTTAAACATCTGGTTATCCACACCCCTGTTGTTATCAAGCCTCACTGTCAGTGGATATAGTGACGTTAGCAGCTCACGATAATTTTATGAACATGAAAATCATTGAATTAGTCATTTGTCTTCGAATAGAAAAGACACCTTCCCCCCCCGTCCGCCCCCCACTGTCCACCTTTTCAGATCTAATCTGTCGCCAGGTGTTGCCAGGTCTCTCAACTCTGTCCTGTCTTCTTATCTCTGTAATCACATCCTAACACTGGCCCTCACACTAGGATTATCTATTGCGGGGGTGTCCTGGAGCATCTCTGTTCCAGTTCATTCTTCAACCAGCTATAGGAGAAGCCCTTCTAATATGGCCCCTACTTGACATTACTATTCATGGGCTTAAATTCCTACATGGTCATGATCCTTCACTTTGACCCCATCCCCTTCCCAACATCCCTCCCACTCTGCCTAGATCACCCTTTCCCCTTGGCCACTGAAAAACTTCTGCTGTCCTTAAAGACCAAGCCCCAGATCTCCCTCCAGACTCCCCCAGGAGAGTCCCATGGTCACACCTCAGTTCCCACCACACTCTATTCCTGTCTTTATGTCAGCAGTCCCTGCAAAGATCTACCACCACCACTCTGAGTAAGCTCTCAAAAGACCAAGTCTGGGGTTCAACTCACCTTACATCGTTGATACTTAAAACAGAGCCTGGCACATTGTAGGAGCTCAATAAATATTCATTCAATGAGCAAGTAAAAGACTAATCCTTATTAGTCTACATGATGGTCCCGCCAGTCTGTTACATTATGTCCTTTAGAAATGAACTATTGTTCCCTAATATTTCATTCCTAATTCTAAACCATCTTGCACCTACTTCTGCAGGATGGTTTCTACTTTTTACATTTTTGTTTACATATTTTTAAACAGAGCTGTTTCTTTGGGATTCTTGCTGAGTCATTTTTTCACATTTTTGGGTATACACCCAATGAAATTGTAAGGTATTTTAGGATGTCTCTCTTTGGTTCCTTTCCCCACTCCTAAGCTAGAGCTTTTGATCATGCTCTGAAAACAGATAAGTCAATGCTTATATGGAAGGAAGGATGGGATGTGTCTTAATAAAATATAAATTAACTATTAGGCTACCCCCTTACTTGAGGTTTTATTTGATTTTATTGAGGAAACTAGGAAAGCACTGGGGACTGATTATGATGGAAATGACTTCCATAGCTATGTAATATCAATGACAATGACAGTGTTGATTGGTGTCCCCAAACCTGTTAAATTTAGAACCAAAGGTAGATTTTGATTCCCTGACTCCTGGCTGCATTCTCAAACCTGTAGTCCAAGAAGCTTTCCCAAGAGGAACTTTGGGTCTCTGTTCTTTTCTCAATATGCAGATAGTCTCAAAAATTACTGACTCCTGGGGTGCCTGGGTGGCTCAGTTGGTTGAGCGTCTGCCTTTGGTTTGGGTTGTGATCTCAGGATCCTGGGATTGAGCCCCATGTTGGGCTCCCTGCTCAGTGGGGAGTCTGCTTCTCCCTCCCCCCACCCCCCCCCACCATTCTTGCTTGCATGTGTGCTCTCTCTCTCAAATAAATAAATAAAATCTTTTTAAAAATTACTGAGTCCTTCCTCCTGCATCAAAAGCCATAATCTTGAAGCCAGAGTACACTTGCTTACACGAAGGACCAAGTCTTCGCAGCAGCTAAGTAGTTAATTAGTAATTTCCCAGTATCTGAAAGTAAAAACGCATTCCATAACTACAAAATCTTGATGTATTTCAGGGAATATTTAAATAAGGAGATGCCAAGACTTCTTAAAAGTCAACTGTATCTTTACTGTTTTTGACATTCAACCTGAACTATGGTACTAGTGACTCCTAAAGTGGCATAGAATTCTAGCTCACGAAGTATTCAACCTCAGGAGGCTTCAGGTGTCATCTTCATCTTTCTCTGTGGGAAGTTCGGGAGGGATGGGGGCCAGCTGCCACTTCTCCCCAACCTCACGCTCTCTCTCTGCTTCAAGCCTGCACTGCATCCCTCCTGCTTCCAGTCTGGACCCCTTCAACTCCATCCCTTCTCCTTCCAGATATCTCCTTCTAACACACATCTGATGCCATTCCCCTGACCCAAACTCTCCATGGTTCCCATTGCCCCTAGGATACAATTCACATTTGTTTAGGTGGTTCCCAAGGTCCTTCAAGATCTATAGGTCTTCCTTCTACTCCCACTATGTTCCAGGATGCTTGAACTTTCAGGTGCTCCTTCCTTCCAGGCCCGTTCCTCTGCTTAGAACACTCCCTGTTCACCTGGATAGCTTCCTGCAAGAGTCCCTTCCTGATTCTCTCTCTTCTGTCTCTGTAAAGGGCCCATGATTGGTGCCCAGAAACATCTCACCCCCTTCCACTCACTGGTTTTTCAGAGCTATTTTCCAAGCCGAAGCTGGAATCTTCCGCCACCCGTCTGGACCAGGGAGAAAGCCTGAACCTGTGGTGCTCCATTCCAGGAGCACCTCCAGCCAATTTCACCATCCAGAAGGAAAAGATGATTATGTCAGAGTCTCAAAATTTCACCAGGATCGCCTCAGCGAGGGACAGTGGGACATACACCTGCAACGCAAGCATGGGCAAGGTGGTCAAGAGAAGCAGTGGAGTCCAGATAACCGTGTGTGGTGGGTACATCCTCACTCGCTCAGAGAGTCTTGGGTGGGATGAGACAGAGACAGTTTATCACCAGCTGCACCCTCTCCAGGCTGAAGGCAGATCACACTGAGGCAGGGGAAGAACTTGGGGGAGAGAGAGCGGTGAAATGAAGAGACCAAACAAGGGGGTATTCCTGCTCCAAGTACAGGAAGGAGGCAATACAAGGAAAGCGTAGGCAAAAGTGAAGTTCATGGCTTTATTGTGGCTGCATGCTGATGATGTGGCTGAGCTGGCAAGATTCTGGCTGCTGGAACAGGCTCCTACTCCAAAGGTCAGGGAGGAAAGGAAACACTCCTTATTCAACACTAAACTTTAGGATCTAAGTTCCTGGCTTTTATCCATATCCTGACTGACTAGTAAGCCCAGGTCTTCTGGTGGGCAGAATGTAGGTACTGGGACCACCTAAAGCCATGTTTTCCAGAGCTGACTGTGCATGCGAAACTGGGTTAGAATGCAGATCAAGATGGAGCCAGAGTCTACATCTCTGACTAGTGCCTGCCTTGGGGATGTTGGGCCCTGGACCGCCCTCGGAGTAGAGGGTCTCTAAGTGACAGTGGAACTCTGGTCAGGCTGTCATAGGCTCTGCTGCAACTCAGTCACAATCCTTCAGTTTAACCCATGGATGTGGTTTATGCAGCCAAGATTTTAGTCTCAACTCAACCAGGGTCATAGTCTCTTGTCAACTCACTCGTCATGGAATTCCCAAGGAAATAATACAAGAGACAAACGTGGGTCATTACATTTCATAAGCTTTACAAATAAGCAAACTTCTGCATAAGGACCTCGTAGAATTCTTGCTTCTCGAGGCATTGATGCGGTTTACTCTCAAGAGAGCCTGAGGCACTGAAAATTTGTTTTCAAATCGATTCCACCTGGGTGCTTGTTATAGTTCTTATGCTTTTCCTGTATCTTTCCTCAACACAACAGCAACATACGGGTGTGTGAGCATGTGTAGGTGAGATATATGAAAATATAAATGGATTTAGGGGGATGTAGTGTTTTTCTTGTCACCCTTTTTTGTTTATAGCATTCACTTCCCTCGTCACCACACACACACACACAACCTGTCCCTCTTAAAATAGTCCTATGAAGGTAGGTAAGACAGGCAGGTAATTATGGTAATGCCAGAGAAGCAAAGAGCAGAGTTTGGAGAAGGACCCTCTTGGGCTGGATGTTTTGTTTCTGCCTTCAGTGTTGTTCAGGTTGTTTCTCTGTCGTTCTAGAAATGCTCTCCAAGCCTAGGATTTTTTATGACTCCAGCTCCGAGGTGATAAAAGGACAGACCATCGCAGTCAGCTGCCAATCCATAAATGGAACCGTGCCTATTTCTTACCACCTTTTAAAAGCAAATAACATTTTGGAGAGCCGTGACATGACCTCAAATGAGCCTGCAGTATTCAAAGACAACCCAACGAAAGATGTAGAATACCAGTGTATTGTGGATAATTGTCACTCCCATACCGAAATGGCCAGTGAAGTTCTGTGGGTCAAGGTGATAGGTGAGTTGCTGTGCTGTGGGAAGAAATCCTGTTTGGGGGCTTTACTTCACATTTTCAAAGGTTTGGGTTGCCCTGGGGGGTTGTATGCACAAGTGGGTGGTTCTTGTGCAAAGGCCATAAACATGTGGCAGCGCGGGCTCAAGGCCCAGGTAAATGGGTCCAGAAGATATCTGGTGGCTCTTGGTGTGGCCAGTGACATCTCTTTGCAGAATCTTTCAATTGAACTGCTAAAATATCAGAGCAAAGTGTCCTGACGTCAAGAAGCACTAAAGTTGTGTTTTGGGGCTCCCTTAACTTTTGCTCCTTTTTAGATGAGCTGACAGCTATCTCTGAGAATTGTAGACCAGAGTTTTTCTCCACTATGGACTCTTGGGGAGGCAGATTCCGTCATGTGCAGAACCTGCAGCCGTCAGAGCTTCAGGCTGTAGTCTCATAGGACTCGCGCGGTCATACTCAGGAGAAATATACCATTGTGCTGGGGTGGATGTTTTTCCTTGAGCCTCTGTCTTGTGCCTTTCAGGAGGCCTCAGGAGGCCATTGTTTGCATCTCTGAGATATTCCATATCCTTTTGTAAAAAGTTCAATATGCTTCTTCTTCTTCCTCCTCCTTCTTGTTTAATAACTGCCTATCTGCAGGTACCACTGTGGACCTCTGAAGCAGGAGAGAGATTCCTGCTTCTATTAATGTATGGTCCAAAAGGAGCCATACTTTTCAAATTAATATCAATATATATAAAGCATCTAATGCTATAGGGCATACAAAAAAAGAAAACATGTTCTTTATTTTCAATGACATAACAAGAAACACAGGATGTCCTGATTAAATAATGCAGAAATATTTTAGTATGTTTGAATGACAGTGCAAGGAAGCATAGAAAAAAAATGTTACTAGGGAACCCATGATTGTCACATGAACTATCCTTACAACAATGGTGATAGGAATTCAGGGCATGAAAGATATCATCTAGCTTGAGTTAGAAGAGCTGGGTTAGGAGCCAGGTCTTGACAATAGGTCAAGAAAGGGCTGGAGATGGCTTACCAGTTAAATACATGAGCAAAATGTCTCCATGGAGCAGTTCAGAAGACTGGGTAGATCAGATGGCTGGAAACAAAAGATTGGGACCGGAGAATCATTGGGTATAAACTGAAAAAGTGACTGAGCTCAACTGTGAAGGGCATCGAATGCCAGTCTTCAGAGTTGAGAACTTGTCCTGTGTGCAATAAGAGCCAGAAGAGGAAAGGAGGTCATGAGGAGGATGGAGCTTGGGGGAGATTAACCAGGGTCCTCTATCAGTTAGAAGTGGAAGCCTCAAACCTCACAATACCTTAAGAAGCCAATGCAGAAGCCCACCTGAAACTGTTTAAATTGGTTTAAATCGGGTCAATACAACTGGTTAACATTACTGAGCCCTGACCATGTGGGCACCCCAGTGTGAAGTATTTTAGCAGATTATCTCCATTAATACTTACAATAGCCTTGTAAGATGCATTAAAATATTATCCTTATTTTATGATGATGCAGTGAAGGCTTAAGATGAACAGCTGGTGGGCAGTTGGGCTGGGAATGGGGGCCGGGCAGCCTGGCTCCTGAAGCTGGCTTGCCACCACCCCCCTGTGCTTCAGCAGGAGAGAGGCTCTCGAATCAGGCTCTACCCTCCAGGACTCTGCCCTTACGATTGAACTCCACCCTCCCATCTCGGGCCTGGTGCTCCCTTTTGTGGGACAGGCATCTCTGTGGTCTGGCCACCCACTGCACTCTCAAGGAGGTGGTTCATAAGTCAGGTGCCAGGGGCGCCTGGGTGGCTCAGTTGGTTGAGCATCCGACTCTTGGTTTCAGCTCGGGTCATGATCTCAGGGTCGTGAGATCGAGCCCCACATCTGGCTCAGAGGGGAGTCTGCTTGGGATTCTCTCCCTCTTTCTCTGCCCCTCCACCTGTTCTCTCTCTCTCAAATGAATGAATAAATCTTTTTTAAAAAATAAAGTCGGGGGCGCCTGGGTGGCTCAGTCGTTGGACGTCTGCCTTCGGCTCGGGTCATGATCCCGGGGTCCTGGGATCGAGCCCCACATCGGGCTCCCTGCTCCGCAGGAGGCCTGCTTCTCCCTCTCTCACTTCCCCTGCTTGTGTTCCCTCTCTCACTGTGTCTCTCTCTGTCAAACAAATAAATAAAATCTTTTAAAAATGAATGAATAAATAAATAAATAAATAAATAAATAAATAAATAAAAAAAAATGAAGTCAGATGCCAGTCTGCTGACCAGTCCATTCTCACACTAATAGGAAAGTCTGCTTGGGAAGACAATTGAGGATCAGAATTTTGGTAATTAAACTTGTAAAATGTATATGAGAGGAAATTGAGTCCTGCTTGGATCTGCTGGGAATGCAAGGCTGGCAGGGCTTCTCAGTGGAAATGCCCAGGTCAGAATCGAGACCTGGAATCCAGGGGGAGTAATCAGACTAGAGCTGTCTATTTCGGCATTAAATGCTCTATGTTTATGTGTTAAATGCACAAACAGAAGCTATGATGTAGGTGAGATCACCAAAGAGGAGAATGGAGATGGAAAGCTGAGGACTAAATTTTGCAGAAAGTCCATATTTAAGGGGCAAAAGGAAGACAAACTAGTGAATAAAGAGGGTGTGACAGGTGAGGAGGTTAGAGAATCTAGGCTGGGATGCATCGGAGAGGCCGCAGCAGAAGCCGCACTGGTTTGCGAAAGCCGCAGATGGGAAGACTGGAAGGACACCTATGAAGACTGGAATTAATCTGCTGGGGACTCAGGGATGGGAGAGTCAGGATCGGGTGACCTTTGGCGTATTCTTCAAAACCAGAGATGGAGAGCAGTTTCCAAAGTGGAGGGATGGAAGTCAGGTGACAGGGGTAACAAGAAGATGGGAAATGAGGATGCGAGAGCAGTTGGTTTAGGACATTTGTAAAGGAAAAGGGAGAAAAACAGGAATAGCTAAAGATAGTGGGTCAAGGTTATTCATAAGATCTGGAAGTGCCATGCATCTTTGTAAGCACAGGGAGGGAAATCACACACACACACACACATTCACACTCACACTCACACACACACTCACACTCACCCTCACACACTCAACAGGGCACAGAGATGAACTATATCATCAGGCTGAGTGGTCAGTAGTCCTTGAGGTGCTAAGTGAAGGGAGGTGTCCCTAGCATCTTGTGTGTAAACAACACGTGGGCAAAGGAGGCTTCGGTTGCTGTCCTTCTGGGCTAAGGAGAGGAGGGGAGATATGAAGGATGCGGGGTGGGGGTGGTGAATTGAGTAAAAGGCACACACTGTCACGGGGCGGCAGGAGGCTGGCCCCGAGCAGCACTGTGTCATGTTCCCTCCCTTGCACCTCCTCCTTTCCTCAGCGCTGTCCCTTTCACTGCCTTTCAGCCCCGGTGGATGAGGTCAAGCTCTCTATCCTGCTGAATGAGGATGTGGAGTCTGGGAAGGCCGTCGTGCTTCGGTGCTCCGCGAACGAAGCATCTGGTCCAATCACCTTCAGGTTTTACAGAGAAAAAGAGACCAGTCCCTTCTACCAGATCACCTTGAATGACACCCAGGCCATTTGGCACAAGGCGAAGGCTAGCAAGGAGCACGAGGGACAATATTACTGCACAGCCTCCAACAGAGGCAACCGGGTCAAAAACAGTCCCCAGAGCAACATACTGACAGTCCGAGGTGAGTCAGGGTCTGAGACAGTGGGATCTAGTGTGGCCTCCAAGAGCGAGGCCAAAGCCTCATCCCTTGCAAGAGGAAGTGGGCAGCTGTTGAGCTCATTTCACTGCGGGTTAAGAGACCAATGTCCTCCAGGCTCTTTTGTTGCAAGTGATAGACATGCATCCAAATTAAATATAAAAGAGGAATTGGTTATTATAAGAAATTAGAAATGTCTCACATAGTTGTAATTCCAAATTCTTGGTCAAGAGATACCAGTTGGCCCATCTTGGGTCAAATGTCCACCCACGGACTACCTATGGCCAAGGGGATTGGGTCATGTGGAAGGGACATAGTTAGGGGAGCCCACACAAGTGGGTAGAAGCTGGTTTCCTAGTGAAGGAGAAGGGCCGAATAGACCCCAGAAAGGAGTCTGCTTCAGTCCAATGGTCCTTTAAGACCGTAGCTGACTCTGTAGCAAACAAACAAACAAACAAACAAAAGACACACAAAAACATCTCTCCACCAGCTATGAATAGTGTCCTTCAGAGGTTGATGTTCATGTAAGATGCTGGTTACAAGGACTATAAAAACTAGTCTTATTTGTTGCTTAAACCTGGTATTATTTCTTGCTGGCAGAGGAAAAACCTATGTGTGTGTGTATGTGTGTGTGTGTGTGTGTTTTTTTTTTTTCTTCGTTCCCAGTCTTTCTTGCCCCATGGATAAAAGGACTTATTGCAGTATTTGCCATTGGAGTGATAATTGCCATCTTGGTACTTGGGGCCAGATGTTATTTTCTGAAGAAAGCCAAGGGTAAGTACAGTTCTTTCATTCCATTCTGGTAGGTTGCCCTGTCCAGGAAACTGGCCCTGGACATGAGGGGCTTCAGCTTCATGGAGGGCTGGTGCTCTGCCCCACTGGGAACTGAGGAGATATAACTGGTGACAATTGTTTTTCTCCTTGGGGTGTCACCTTGATAACCAAAGATTTTGGCTTTGGTGGGCATAAAGCTTTTATTGCCCCCTTGGATTTAGTTAGGCACAAAGGAAAGCGATTGCTTTCCTAGTTGGACAACCCAGAAAAGCTGCATCTGGGGGGAGGTTGCATCTACATGTGGTCAGAAGATGCTGTTTCTGTGGATTTGGCCACACCTAGTCCTGCAGTTGGTAGAGTGCGATGGACACCCACCTAGGTGCCGCCCCCCCGCCCCATCCACTGAATGCCTCCTAATTTGTCCATGATTTCTACCCTGTGCTTGAGGTTAACCACACATGGAAGGGAAGCCAGGATCACCCACTGACACTCAGGAATCAGAGTCAGCTAGCATGAACTTAAGGAAAGGGGCTCGGCCCCACTAAATTCTGCAAAAATTTTTGTAGAGTAGGGCAGGTTGTTTTGGAGACCCGGTGCTGCTGCCTGGGACGGGTGGGGGCAGACGGGATGAGGAGGGGCCCTGGGCTTTTTCTAGAATAAGAAAACTGCAACCCTTCTGGGAAGACAGGCTCCAGAACCAGCCCTTTCCTAAGGCTGACCCTGGCCGTGGTCTCAGGCCAGCTTGGAATTAAAAGCATAAGGACTGATGTAGCCTTTACTTCTTGGAATCATCTTGAATCAAAGAGATAGTTGCCGGTTTATCTGGCTTACCTGGTTCCTCTCCTGTTGACTTCATCTCTCATCACATTCCACTAAGGAAAATTGCTCCTGGCTGAAACAGTCAAAATGTCCATATTTCTGGAGGAAATGATGTGAAATCTCTTGGTATAAGACCAAGAGAAGACCTACTTTGTTTGTTTATTTGTTTGTTTGTTTTCTTCTTCTTTTTTTAAAAGCAGGAATATATTTGGCTTTCTTCTCTCTTTTTATGGGCATTCAATCTTCAAGAAAGTCAGATATGGTTGAGATGAGTCTTCCTATCTCGTACAGACGTGGATACTTTATACTAACTTTGGATTTTCTCTTTCTCTTTTAAAGCCAAGCAGACACCAGTGGAGATGTCCAGGTCAGTGTGTGTACTTGGGAGAGAGGTGGTTACTCTGTAGACATGCATCAACTATAGGGAGATTCTGGTCCTTAGAGGATTTTCAGTGTCTCTTGGAAAACTCAGAAAAATAAGGGTCTTCAGTGTGAGTAGCATAGGGACACGAGTGTCTTTGGCTCCTTGGAAGATGGCCAACTGTCCTTCCATGGGAAAGAATGGCTTTATTCTGAGGTCATGTCCTTCTTATGCTGTTCCTTGTGAGGTCCCCTTTTCCTTATGAAATTATATTGGATGGAATTTTTAAAGATTGCTTACTTGGCGAAATAGAGTTGGCCTAAGGGGGAAAAAAAAAAGGTGGTAATATTTTTACTGTTCTTGAAATCCAAAATTCAAAAGTATGGAAAGGGATAGCTCTGTCCTGGAGAAAAACAGTAGCACAGGATGAAGAATTCAGAGGGGTGGGATTCACCTTGGCCCTGACACTTCTTATTTTTATTATACAAAAGCCAAATATCCAATTTTTATTTCTCAATAAAATACATAAAAAGCTTCACATATTATATATAAATTAAAATGAGTTATGCAGAGTCCCATGCAAAATATTAAAAAGTGTCATTTTCATTTCTAATTTGAGGCTAATATTGACATGTATGAGAAATTGTGTGAGAGCAAATAAAACTCTTCATCAACAATAATGAAATCATATGTATCGCTGAAGGCAAAATATTTTGTATTTATAGTAACTATAATATACAATACTATTCAATTTGGCAGACATAGTCTTTATCTGAAACGATTTCTATAAATACATACCAGAATACATTTCTAACAGGCCATTTATATGTAAGTGAAAGTAACAAGGATATATGTGTGTATATATTTGATTAATATAGGATAATTCTGGTATGTCAAATATGTATGAGATGATGGACTATTTAATGAATGGAATAATAGAATAATCAAGCAATTCTGGAAATAAATGAAGACCATCCAAAGGAGACAAGAAAAAGCTACTTCTTCAGAGCTTGCTATAGTAAGGGAGGGCCCTCACACTTCTTTTAACAGCAAAGAGTTTTTGTCAACATTTTGGAAAAAATGTTTATTTTCCACAGGAGAGGGTAAAGTTTTCCTCACTTCAGAAAACGCCCCCTGGTTTTCTCATATCTTTCCTTGATTGTTTTCGTGGTTTGAAGTTAGAGCCAAAAAAAGTCATACTCTTTCTTTCCTCTTGAAATTTCCTTTTAAGGCCAGCAGCACCACTTCTGAACTCCAGCAACGAGAAGATGTTGTCAGATCCCAATACTGAAGCCAACAGACATTACGGTAGAGTCATGGTTTCCTGCTAAGTGTTTTCCCCAGCTGGCCACAAACTCCCTCACCCCTCTTAGAAGCAGAATCTGTAGATGATGGGGTTCAAGTTGGAAGGGAAGCCCTGTCCTCAAGGAGGGGGACTTCATCTAACTGGTCGTGGAAGTGTGAGCTGATAAGCAAAACAAAAACTTAGGAAGAAAGGCAGAACGTTCTACCCTAATCTTAACCACCTCCTAAACATCCCCGGGAATGAAAGGTGGAGAATAATTATAATGCTGCGGATACCCATCCTGGGTTACCTTCCAAAACTTTGAACATGGCCCAGGTATAATCATTATCCTTTTGTTAGAGAGCGAGAGACCAGTTATCAGATGAAGGCATTGGTAAAAGATCTTCTCAGATGGAATTATTTATTACAAGCACAAGACAGTTTCCGCTCAGCTTTTGCCACAACTGATTTCAATATTTCTCTGTTAGTGGAGGCATTTAAAAGAAATGAGTGGTACAAAGAGTACCTGGTGATAAGGCTTTAGTGCAAGCTTGGAAGTCGGCTCAGTAGGGTGGGAAGCCAATCCCCGCAGCCCCCCCCCGCCCCCTGCATTTCTTTTTTTTTTTTTTTAAAGATTTTATTTATTTATTTGAGACAGAGAGAATGAGAGACAGAGAGCATGAGAAGGAGGAGGGTCAGAGGGAGAGGCAGACTCCCCGCTGAGCAGGGAGCCCGGTGCGGGACTCGATCCCGGGACTCCAGGATCCCGGGACTCCAGGATCATGACCTGAGCCAAAGGCAGTCGCTTAACCAACTGAGCCACTCAGGCGCTCCCCCCCCTCCCACCCCCCCCCGCATTTCTTAATCCCATTAGGTCTTGGAGAAAATTGCTGCAGTCTTGGAGCCAGGGTGATGGCCGCTTCCCAGCGGGGCAGATAATTTTATCACATGCAATGTCCTGTCCCAGACCAGGTTGGGGGCAGTTTTCTTTATCAGAAGGTCTGGGAATAGAACGCCCATGTTCTTTACTAAATGTGTAAGTGTTCCACAAAATGAGAGTTTTAGGATATGCCTCTTGCAGGGCGTACTTGAGGCATATGTTTTAAGAACTGAGCGATTCTTGTAACTACCAAATCATCAACCTTTAAAAAGTGAATAAAACAGTGCCTGGCTGGCTCAGTTGGCAGAGCATGAGACTCAGTCTCGGGGTGGTGAGTTCAAGCCCCACACTGGGCATGGAGACTACTTAAAAAAATAAACATGTAAACAAACAAACAATAAATAAACAGATAGAAGAACCTGGGAATTCCTGAAGTCCATCAAATAGAACAGGAACTAAAGAAAACATACAATGTGGTACAATCCTTACTAAAAAGTGAATAAAACATCTGTAATAACAAAAGTAATGGACCAATAAAGAAAACAGAGTATCATGTAAGAAACTACATTCGGAAATATTTGGACTATTTAGCAAAAAGTAATCCAGTGTTATAGGGGAAATACCTGTTTGTGGTATAAGGGGGGTTCTTTTGGTTATTTGTATTATACATAAATACGTAGACACTAAATTGAATGCTAATATAGACTTGTATTAAAATAGGAATTCCCCCAAATTTCTAAAATGCAAGAAATACTCTAATTCTTATATTGTCTCTCCATGGATTATTTCACTTTATAAAATATTTTAGTAATCACAATAAGTAATTAGCTTAAATGCATAATGGAAAATCATGTATTCTTCAGAAGTATTTATATTACTTATAATCCATAAAATTATTTTTAATAAAGAACAGCTTGATAAAAAAAAAGTTAAGAAGTTCTTTTTGCCCACTGAAGTGGCAGCCTGGAGGTACCACAATTTCTTTAAACTATGTTCTCCTGCATCCAGCTCTCTGGTTGGAGAGGGTTAGTTTGCTAGTGTTTTTCATGTTTCTGGTTATGGGCCTATCCCTTTAGAATTAAGCTTAATTTCTTTTTTTTTTTTAATTTATTTATTAGAGAGAGAGAGTGAGAGAGAGAGCGCAAGAGGGGGTAGGATTAGAGGGAGAAGCAGACTCCCCGCCGAGCAGGGAGCCCGATGCGGGACTCGATCCCGGGACTCTGGGATCATGACCTGGGCCGAAGGCAGTCGCTTAACCAACTGAACCACCCAGGCGCCCTAGAATTAAGCTTAATTTCTTTTTTTTTTTTAAGATTTTATTTATTTATTTGACAGAGAGAGAGAGATCACAAGTAGGCAGATAGGCAGGCAGAGGGAGAGGGAGAAGCAGGCTTCCCGCCGAGCAGGGAGCCCGATGTGGGGCTCGATCCCAGGACCCTGGGATCATGACCTGAGCCGAAGGCAGATGCTTAACCATCTGAGCCACCCAGGTGTCCCTAAGCTTATTTTCTAATGAGCTTGCTCAAAGTGAACAATTCTGAGTCTTGAACAATTCATAAGCAGAAGGATCCCACCCGTGGGATGGTAGGCATCACTGGTATTAGAAAGTGACCACACAGAGGTCGGATGGAGCCATAGGGGGACGAAGAGGGAATCCAGAATCTTCTACACTGCTGGTGGACCACTACTCTGACAAAGTTAGGCCTCACTCTGTGTGTTAGTGGCACTGAGTTTTTGACAAGTTATATAGGAAACTAGGATTTCTGTTGCCACTCATCCTCTTTGTTATTTTTCAATTAGGTTACAACGAAGATGTTGGAAACCATGCAATGAAACCAATAAATGAAAATAAAGGTAATTATCGAACTAAGTTTTTTTTTTTATTAGAAACATTTACAGAAAAAAAGACCCCTAGGAAAGAACTAAAACTGTTAAGACCTGGGGATATTACCCCCCACTCCCCCGCCGCCCCAGTGACCCTGTCGCCAGCTGCTGTGTAAAATGGGGGTGGCTGGTCACTTGCTTCAAAGATGCTATCTTGTGTCCTTACTGGAAAGTAACCTAGGGGCCCCTGGGTGGCTAGGTCGGTTGAGCATCTGACTCTTGGTTTTGGCTCAGGTTTTGATCTCAGGGCTGTGAGAATGAGCCCCACATCGGGCTCCGTGCTCAGCATGGAGTCTGGTTGAGATTCTCTCTCCCTCTCCCTCTGCCCTTCCCCCAACTTGTTCTCTCTCTCTAAACTAAATAAATAAACCTCTTAAAAAAGAAAGACAGCAACCTAAATTCCAGTAGGAAAGAGCTGGGTTATACCTACCAGGGAACTGGGTACTGGGTACTGTAGGAGGATCTCCTCTCTCTTGGATAGTAGAGGTGGGGGCGTTTTCTAAAATAGCATTGTGGTAAATCATCAGGTTGTACACCTTACACTTATACAAGGGTTACATGTCATTTATACCTCAATAAAGCTAGAAGGAAAGTGTTAAGGGTCTGGGATGGGGAGAAGCACACAGGGTACGTCAGGGGTAATAAAAATGTTCTTTTTCTTAAAAAGGCAATGGGTACACTGTTATTTATTATTATTATCTGTATTTTATTCCTAACTTACAAATATTCTTTGACACCTAAGTATTTAATAAAAATAAAACATACACTATAAAAAAATATAAAAATAGCATTGCTGCTAATTTTTAAAGACAATGGACAATAGATTGCTTGCTACGGCCTTAAAGCTCAGAAGGATCGGCTAACTCATTTTTCAAAATTCCCTTCCCCTCTGGCCTGCTATCACAGGAGCTAAAGATATAAAAGAGGTAAATACCAGTGTCCTTGACCACACATCAGTTTTTAGTGCTGGTGAGAAAGACTCACTCTGAGACTTCAAAAACAAAACGATAGGGCGCCTGGGTGGCTCAGGCTGTTAAGCGTCTGCCTTCGACTGAGGTCAGGATCCTGGAGTCCCAAGATCGAGTCCTGCACCGGGCTCCCTGCTCAGCCTTCTCCCTCTGCCCTTCACCCTTCTCTGTCTCTCTCAAATAAATAAATAAAATATTTTAAAATAAATAAGTAAACAAACAATAATGTTACTTTGAGTTAAAGACCAACAACTTTCCCACATTTCACCATAGCGGCCCGACTGCTTTCATTAACTTGTTTTTCGAAGCATATGGCTTATATTCTCAGAGCATGTTTGGGCTGGGGAAACCTGTTCCCCATTGCCTGAGATTCTTTCCATCTTGGAGATAGCTTTCTATGCCTGTGGCCATGGAATAGGCTTCCAGAGTTAACTGCCGTGGCTAATCCTGAGCTTTTGTAAATCCTTCCCCTGTAGAAACAAGGGGACCTGGGCAGAAGGGTCCCTCCACATCCTGGGGATAGCAGGACTCATCACTGTCTTCCCCAGCCTGTGGTGTCCCTCTCACCCTGAATGGCATTCAGCCTGTGTCTGGCTTCCTCCTCGAAATAGGGACTCCTTCAGTCCTTTGAGTGGAAATCTCTAATGCAGGCGGGGTTTTGTCTAACTGTGGGGTGCTGTGGTTCTTTTGAGCAGAGCCTCTGACCTTGGACGTGGAGTACACAGAAGTGGAAGTGACCTCTCCTGAACCTTACCAAGGTAAACAGCATTACTGGAGTGGCTCCGCACGCTTTGCTCTCTGCTTGGGTGTAGACACCAGGGTGAGCTATGCTATGACCCAAGGACAAGGGTCCCTTTGGTCAGTCGGAAGGGAGGCAGTCAGCAGACAGACCTGGACATGCCTACGGCAGGAGCGGGGACCCCTGCCTAGGCTTTTGAGGCATTAAATTTCATTATTATTTACCATACTATTAATAACGAGTAGGTTTTACTGAGCAATTACTAAGTGCTAAGAAACGTGTTTGCTGAGAGACCTTTCGAGGGCTGCCTCACTCCTGGGTGTTGTGGGTTTTCTTCCAGAGCTACGTTCCTTGCCCACACCTAGCATCTTCCTTAAAGAGTTGCTTGTACCTTGAGCTTGGGGAAATGAAACGCATGTTTGAAGGTAGTGAGGGCTTGGCTCGTCAAAGGGACTCTTGGGTAAATGCTTCTGAAAACACAGAGTCCCCTTCTGTGTAAACAGTGGCACTGGTTTCCCACTTCAGGTTTTGTTTTTTTGTGTGTGGTTCTCTCAGGGGCAGGCTGGCTGGAGGTCCCTGGCTCTGGTGCGGTGCTGGGGACACTGACTCAGCCTGGGCCACTCCATAGCGAACACGAGAGCGTCAGTTCCAGTTCCTTTTGGCCCCACCAAAACCATGCATGTCCTCGTGGCCCTCCCTCGCCCTAGCTCTTCCACAGCCTGCTGAGCTCAAAGGAGCCTCCCAGAGCCTTCTGGCCCTGCTGGGAAGCTCTTTAGGGCTATAGCCACGCATCCCCCTTCCCACTGAGCCTAAGGGCTGCAGCTGTGTCCGCTCGGCCTGGCAAGCTGAGGGCCGCTTTCCAGGCCGGGAACGCCTAGCGTTACCCAGAGTCACTGGGCAGTGGCATCCCTTTATCATCTCTGGCTCCATGAGTTGGGAGGAGTTGTGCGTTCCTTCCTTCTTCCTTGCTTAGGTTCTGGGTACCATGTCAGCAGGTATGTGCACGGGATCTTGAGGTGAGGCTGTCCCCTACGGCTCCTAGGCTGCGTGCTGCCCAGTGGGGCACCGTTCCCTGGGAAGGTGGGGGCCGTGGCAGGCCTGGAGTTCTCCTCCTCTTTATTTCATTGTAAAGAGGTTTGCTTGCTAACAAAGTAAGGGTCCGGGCACCTGGGTGGCTCAGTCGTTAAGCATCTGCCTTCGGCTCAGGTCATGACCTCAGGGTCCTGGGATCGAGCCCCACATCAGGGTCCCTGCTCGGCGGGGAGCCTGCTTCTCCCTGTCCCACTCCCCCTGCTTGTGTTCCTGCTTTCGCTGTGTCTCTCTCTGTCAAATAAATAAATAAAATCCTTAAAAAAAAACAACAACAACAAAACAAAACAAAGTAAGGGTCCTTGATGGGCCAGCCCCTGTGCAAACAGCAAAGGTACAGATAATGATCCCCACCCCCCAGCCCCGACCCATGGAGGTAGAGCCCGTGAGGGAGCCAGGAAAACAAGGAACCGAAGAATATATGGATAGCGTCAGGTTATGGTTAGTGCTCGGAAGGAAAGGAATGGGGAGCAATGAGAAGGCAGGTTTGGGGGCTGGCATTTAAGCTGGGGCCTGAAGGGCACAAAGAAGGTGGCCCCGCTAAAAGGAGAGAGGGTTAGGAGAACCCAGGAAATGGGAAGGACAGCGCGAGGTGGCCCAGAGCTTGACTCCTTTGAGGATCTGGAAGGAGGCAGATCAGTGTTATCACCAGGGGAGAGGGGCTGAGGGTGGAGCCAAAGTGCTGGCAGTGGATGGATTCGAGATAGATTTCAGAGACGTGGCAACACTGGATGAGATTTTATGGCAAGGATCGGGGAGACCGAATCACTACAGGTTGCATGACTGACTAACCGGATGGACAGTCAGGATGCCTGAGACTGGGAGGAACAGGTTCAGTTAGGTGAAACATGAGATGCCCAAGAGGAGACAGACAGCACAGGGGGCCGGCGCTCAGAAGCGAGTCTGGGTCGGCTGTGGCTAAAGGGGCTGTAGGGGGCTCCCCTCCAGCCTTCTCTGGTCCCGCCAGAACCTGCCAAAAATGCACCCCCCCCCCGCCTCCACCCCGGGCACTGTGCATCATGGGCTCAGTCCCCTTCCTCTTAAGGGGACTTCTGGCCGGGAAGGGACAGGGAAGACTAACAAGAGGGCAAGGCTGCCCAGAGATTTTGCATATGTGTAGAAAAACCCTGCTGTCCCCTGACCCTCCAAACTCTGCTGGGCGCTCAAGCAAACAGGGCTTGCCCTGGGCTCTGGCCTTGAGGTTCTCATGCTCCCCTCGCAGAGGGGAGCTGGGCCAGGACGAGGTGGGATTATGAGCGCTGTGCTTGATGGCCTCAGAGGGTTTGGACTGGAGGAAGCTGAAGGAGAAAGGACACAGGGTTTTGTCCTTGGAAAAGGGTCCATTTTCCACTCTTTCGAGAATGTTTCCATGTTAGAGCGTCTGGTTTTCTTTTTCTTGCGTGAAGGTGGGGTGGGCTCTAAAGGGAAAAGAGGTCCTCGGACAGGCTGAGGAGAGGTGCTTTCCTTGCCAGGCCGAGCACAGCTGCAGTCACCTTTCCCCACGTTGCTGCGAGGGTCTCGGGAGAGCTAGAGGGAGTGCCACGTGGGTGGAAATGGAGAGTTTCTAGAAGGTTCAAGTTGAGTTTTCTGGACCCAGTGTCCTGGGTGCTCAGGGATAGCAGGGCAGGGCAGGCCTGGCCTAGGATGCTGTCCCCTTGCTTTCTCATGGGTGGCGGGTGGGGCGTCACTAGGGTGAGGAAAGGGCTTTGTGCTTTCAAGGCCAGTGATGAGTAAACTTGATCTGGTCTTGGCCAACCCAGTTCCCTGTCCTCAATGCTCCCTCTTCCACAGCTGGGATGGGGGAAGGGATGAGGATCGTGCCCAGCTCTGCCTCTGACTGGCAGCTGACCAAGGAATCACTGCAGGGTGGAGGCAGGGTGGGAAGGAACTTGTTAAAGCCGGTCTGTTGCTTGTTTGCTCTGAGGCTAATTGCTGGGAAAACCCCATGACGTTGAAACCATCTCTTTCTCGGTTAAACAGAGAAAAACAGAAGCCAAAATAAAGCCCCATCCGGAAACATCCCTGACAGCAGAGACAAACAGCCTGTTGGCCTGGGTTACTCATTAGCAGGCAGCTGCCGAGCAGAACAGGGTGGCTGTGATGAGCTGCCAGCCCCCACCCATCACAGGGGGCAGAACCGGGGGAGAGGGGGCAGCAGGAGGAATCACTGGGGCAGCTGTAAGGGTAGCCGCTCTGCCAAGAAGTGGAAATCACCCTGCTGCCCGGGCTGATCCGCAGTTCTAAGGAGGAAGGGGGTCAAGTGCAGCTCTTGAGTCCAGAGGGTGTTAGAGTGTCCCCAGGGTGACCAGAGAGGTCTACCAGCAAGCCTGGGGGCTGTGGCTCTTACAAGAGTGTCCAGCCCCAAGGCTGGGCCACCCCACCTCATCCCTCCATTCCTTCCCCACGGCCCCCACTCCCACTGTGGGACAGGGTCTGAGGATGAGCTAGCAGGGACCCCAGTGCACCTGATATACAGCATCCTAAATCGTTTCTCCCAGCGTTGTCTGCCCCACAGCCTGGAGCTCCCGAAAGCTCCAGGTCTGAGTTACCTCTTCCCTTCCTTGTCCATGGTGCCCAGGATCATACTGAACGCGTGACTTGCCCAGGCCTAACATGGCACAGAATCCCTTAGGGATGTGGTAGATCCCCAGGAGATGTGGGAATCCCTGGAGTCTCCCTGTATACCCCCAAATCTGGTGCCACGGACGGAGCACGGGGAGTGACGTAAGCATCTCTGCTGGCCTCTTAGAGAAAAACAGGTGTCCTGGCAGAGGGGTGCTTGGTTTCTCAGCCACACTGGTTGAGTACCAACTCCTGTTTGGTGCCTTGGGGGAGTCATATGAAGCCTTCTACAAGGCCCTGGCCACCCCAGATGGCCCAAGTTCACCTGTTGGGGGATCTGAGCCACCCCCACCTCCAGGCTTCTTCCTGGTGTTCAGGTCCTGGCACAGGAACCACCACCATTCACCATTCAGTGTCTAATGAATGACCATGGTTTTAATCCTAAGATCTAAAACCTCAGGGAACAGGCTGACTACGCCAAGGCCTTCCTGAAGTTCAGGGTCTGAGACAGAGACCCTTGCAAGGACATTGGTGCCTTCACTGTCCTATCAAACCTCTATGGCTGCCTCCAGGTAACTGTGCAAGGCCTGGGATCGGGAGGTGCACCGGACCTCAGGTTCTGCTCTGGAGGAGCTCCGGGTCCACCAGGGAGACAGTCGTGGGGACAAATAATGTCAGTGTGGTCATGGGCAAGTGTCCCCAAAGTGCTGTGGGAGCACAGGGGTCCTGCGTAACTGCCCTGGGCACAGGGAAGGGGTGAGTGTGTTAGGGAGTAGGTAGGTGTGTGAGGGTGTGTGAACCCAGGCGCAGGAACAAAGCTTGTCCTGGGACTTGGAGGAGGAATGGGGCAAAGAGAAAGGGCCATGCAGGCAGTGCAGGGAGATGTTCAGGGTCAGGGGGCTCCCTGGAGCCTAGTGAGTCAAGGGTATCTTGGCACAGTTAGAGTCCGTGGCATGCCCCGGCCATCTGCCACCAAGGAAAATAACACCCACACGGTACTGAGCATGGTGGCAGGAAGCATCTTACCCTGTCTGGGGCTTCATTTCCGGATCTGTAGAATGAGAATGTTGGCCGCATGTAGAAAGCTACCTTTCCACATTGAGGCTTTCTGGTCCTTTGTGCAGGTGAGAGAAGACGGGGGGTAGTGGCCGGGCCCCATCCTGGTCCCTGAGGTTTGTGGGTGTGTATGTATGTACATGCTGTGTGTGTATACATTGGACGTAGGAGTATGATTCATGTAGACACAGTATAAGTGTGTGTCCAAGTGTGTGTATACACAGCCTGTACATAGACTTCCACTTAAACAGATGCCCGTATGGGTGTTTTGTCCCCCAAACCCTGAGTCTCCTCTGGGCATAATCCATACCCTGGTCGGTCATCTGTCTGCTATTCCGAAAGAGTCCAGACCAGAGGATCTCAACCCTATCTGCGTCTTAGAATCTCCTGGAAGCTCTTTAAAAAACCCCAGTGCCAGGGCCACCCCGGACCAATCAGAACCAGAATGAGGCCCCGGTGTTGGCATTTGAAATCAACTAGCCAGTTGACTAGCTGTGACTCAGTCACAGCTGATCCTCGAAGTCACAGATGATGCACAGGCTCTAACCCAGGCCTCAGGTGATTGGGAGCCCATAGCCCTGCCTCCTGGGAGGGGCTGGAGGAACAGCTGGACACGGGGACACCCTGGCAGGGGAGCAAGGATGGGGCCCCTGAGCTGGAGGCTGTAGGTGGATACTGGGGACCCCTCCACCTGTGGCCTCTCAGGTCCAGGGTTCCCCTGGAGCAGGTGGACCTGCCCCCGTAATGGCCTGTTGACCTCATCCTTCCAGGTTGAGAGTGACGCTAGTTAGACCAGGATCTTCTAAAGCCAGGAAATGGCCTGAGCTTTGTGGCAAGCAGGTCTCCAGGCCCTGCTGGAGATGGGTGCTCGTGGGGTGGGGTAGTGGGCAAGCAGGGAGCCTCGGACATTCTCCTGCTTCAGCAGTGGGCTGAGCTGGTGCCCAGAGGCAGCTGTTGACCTGTACCTGGTCACTTTCCAGGTCTGGAATCCAAGGGCACAGAGACGGTGTACAGTGAAATCCGGAAAGCTAACCCTGGTGAGTGAGGGCCCCTGACTCCCCCAGCCTGGGGGCTGCTTCCCCCTGAATCATCCGTGGGGGCTTAGGAGTGGGCAGAGAGAAGAAGGAGCAAAGGAAGACAAAAAGGAGTACTGCCCCTTACACCGAAGTTGGTGACATGCCACCCCTAAAAAGTAGCCATGTGTTACGTGTGCTGTAATTTAGTCAACGCACACGTATTAAGTGCCTACTGCATGCCAGGGAAACAGGACCTGACACATTCATACCCAGCTAATGGGCAGCTGAGCTGGAGTGTGTCCTGGCGCCACTATGTGCTCAGGTGACCCCAGGAGAAGCAGCGTGGCCCCACCTGTGCTCAGGTGCACCCAGGGCGCCTCACCTGCCCTTCCCCCCGCCCTGCCGCACGGGCCCCGGTGCGCGGTGGGCGCCCAGAGTTCGTAGACAAAGTCAGTGCTTTGCTTTCAAGACATTGGGTAGCTCAGTCTTTCTGAGAACATGCTGCCTGGGGGTGGGGGGTGGATCTGCTCCTTTGATTCTCCTTTTCTTTGATGCTGGACCCCAGTTCAGTCCCCATCTCCACCACTTCCCCATGAAGAGCTTCCCCCAGGACTGAGCACAGTGCCCAAGCAGACGTGGAACTGGGGAAGCTCCCAGCAATATCATTTTTTGTATCCTTTTTCTATCCCATTCTGGGGAAATGAATGGAATACAAAGACTCCTTTTTAAATTCTGAAAATAAGTCACAACCCAAAAGGCGTGATTCTGGGGGAAATAATCACTACGTGGATATCTTGCCTCAGACCTGTATTTAAGCGGATTCTCTGGGAAGCGTTACAAACGGCTGGGAAGCTTCGGGACAGCCCGGCTACTCTGAGCGGGCTCCACGACCGGTGGCCGTGGTGGTCTCGGGGGGAGCCCAGACCCACGAGAACCCGAATCTTCAGAATCGGACCTCTAACAGACTCCCAGATATTGCTGACACTGCCGACATTTGAGAAGCACTATCCTAACCGGAGGAGACGCACATTTTAGCTGAAAGAGGGATCTCCCCTTAGTATGTTTTTTAAATGTATTTGCATGGGTAGGGCAGAAACTCAGCCCCTTGTGGAGCTTGACACTGACTGACTGATTTTTCAGAAACCATCTCCTGGGGCAATTGTTGGCTTCAGCATCTCATTTTGCACTCTCAATACGTTCAGAGCTAGCAAAATGCAAACTGAGAAATAAATAGACCTTCTCTATCTTTCCAGTGTAACAAAAATCTAGAGCTCCAGTAGGGTTCACACGGTCCTGTTGGGTAATTGTGTAAAAACACTCCTGCTTTCCTCGAGGTCCCTGAGATTGTTCACTTTTAGTTGCTTTGGTTATGCAAAAGGATTGAGCCTGTGTTACAATATCTCTTTAAATCCTCACAATAAGTCCCATTTTACAGATGAGGATACTGAAGCATAGAGCAGTTAAAACACTTGCCCAGGTTCACACGGGAAGCAGGTCCCCAAACTAGCCCACCCTGGAGCTGGATTTCCACACTCCTGATCGTGGGTCAGGGAACTGCACTGCCTTTGGTCTCGGGGAAAGGAAGCTGTGGTGTGTGGAGCCCGCAGGGATTCCCCCCAGAGGGATCCCCCACACAGGAGACCTGCAGGAAGTCTCAGGGTGTGCTGTGGCCTGAGCCTGCTGCTGGAGACCCTTTATAGCTGGAAAAGGCCACGCCCAGTGTGCATCCTGAAGGGTCTGTGTTAGGCGCCCCGCAAATTAGACTGACAAAAGACAGATTAACAGGAGAAAAACAAAATGATGAGAAACTGCAGAGTGGTTAGAGGTGGGGGCTTATTTAGCAAGTTAACCAAGAACAATAAATTTTTTTTGTAGATGCTTTCTGCATCCGTTGACTGTCATTTGCCTCCAGCTCGAAATAATCCTATGCCGATGTGGCATATTTGGGGGTGGCATATTGTGATTTCCTGTATCTGCTTTAGGGCAGCTGTTCAGATGGGCTCCCTCAAGGGCCCTGGGCTGGTTCTCTAGGCCCGAGTCCTCAGTGCCCCCGCTGTGGGAACCCGACTGCTCCCTCTGGCCTAAGGCAGGAACAGACCGCAGGACCCAACCCTGTAGGGACTCAGGGTGGTATTACATCTATTTTGCTGGCAGACATCTGAGCCCCAGTCCTGGTGCTGCCACTTGGCAGTTGTGTGACTTTGACCAAGATGCCTAACCCCTCTGAGACTCCAGTTTCTTCCGCTTAGATTAAATAAGAAAAGGGGGGAGATGGTACGAAGTACCCCCTGCACCAGTCCTCATAGTATACCTATCCTACAGTGAGTATCCAAGGCCTTTTAGCTGAAAGATGCCAGAGAAACTTGAGCCCAGGCAGAGACCAGAGCCGTGTCCCAACTCACCCCACCCCAGGGTGCTCCCCCTGCCCCACCTGGGCCATCAGGAGTCCACTGGGGCTTGGGCACCTCTGTTGTCTGATCTCTGACTTGGCAGACCGTTCCTGCCCAGCGTTTGGGGGGTAGAGAGAGCCCTGGGTCTTGTAGCCAAAACCACAGTGCTGCCTTGGAGGCCTGTGCTGGACCCTTGCTGAAGAGGCTCCGTCTTGGAAACCTCAGAAGGTGCTGAGCATTTCCTGCTCAGCTGCTGCTTCCCAGGGCGGTAGGGCCCCCCCCCCCCCCCAACCCCACCGAGGCTGCCGGCCTCAAGTCAATTCTCTTCTCTTTCTTTTCCTCTTACTGTCAGATGCCACTCTATGCTCAATCCTCAAAACCATCCTAGGGGGGACGGAGGCCCTACTACTACTCCTGTTCTGCAGATGGGGAAATGGGCCCAGAGGTTAAATAACTTGTCCCCGATCGATCCCACGGCCAGTGGTTGGCAGAGTAGAGATTAAGAGGCAGGGAGCCTGGCTGCAGAGTGGTGCTCCTCACGTTTCCTCTCCATGCTGCCGAACCCATGGACTGCATGCTGCTACATTTTCCAGCTCTCTGTTTGGCTTCCCATTATCATTGGTTTCCTTAGAGGCTTCACCTCTATTAAGAGTAATAGCCTATATGGTCTGGGTGACCCTGGGTGAGTCGTGGAACTTCTTGGGACTCTGGTCACCACCTTTGTGGAATGAGGGGCATGGGCCTGAATCTAGATGGATTGTTCTCCAGGTCTGTTAAAACACAGATAGCATGGTACCACCCCCCTGAATTTCTGATTCAGTAGGTCTGGAGTAAGGCTAATTTGCATTCCTCACAAACTCTCACAAAGCGAGGCGATTGGTCTGGGGACCACACTTTCAGAAGCTTCTTCTAGATGCTTCCAAGTTCCCTTCTGATTATATCACTCAAATTATGTTCTACTTCTTGTTTAAAGAGGTAGGGTCTTTCTCATTCCCCAGCAATCTTGGAAGGATCACTCAGGGTTGGCCAGCAGAGAGAATCCTCCAACATGGGTACACGCATGTAGGCGTGTATGTGGGGGGGCGGCGGGGGGGGGGTGGAGAAAGGTGACACCTAATAAAATAAAGGCCCTGGGGAGGTGGGTCTCTGGACAGGCCAGTGAACAGGCTGCGTGCAGAGCTAAGTCTTCTCTAACCTTTCCTTCTTAGGGTTTTATTCTTCCCACCTTAATTTCTCAGTCCTCACCACCTTCCAACCAACAGCACTTCAGGGCTGGCTATTTTGGGAAATGGCTCACAGGGCGTAGTTCTGGCTCTTAAACCCCTTTTTTTCCCCTGAGTGATACAAAGGAAAACTGCTCCTCTAGATAAGCTAAAGGCATGGGGCAGGCCTGCCTCCAAGGAGCAGCCCCAGGGCAGGGCTCTGGGTAGGACCAGCGCCCTGGGGACAGGGTGAGGAGTGGCGGGCATCTGTAGGCGGGGGGAGGAGCCAGGTCTTCGCAATCTTGGCTTTAGGCTCCAAGCTCCTTGGCGCGTGCGTTTTAACTGTGACAAAAATATACATCACACTTGGCACTTTAATCACTTTTAAGTGTACATTTCGGTCGCATTAAATGCATTCACATAATCGTACAACCATCATTACCATCCATCTCCAGAACTTTTTCATCTTCCCAAAGTGAAACTTCATACCCAGTAAACAATAACTCGAGACTCTCCCCAGCCCCTGGCCACCACCATCCTACTTTGCATGTCTGCGAATGTGACTAAGCTCAGCGTTTTTATGTCAAGTGAGGTGGTTGAATGGATGCTTAAGTTGCCTTCTAGTTAGAACATTCAGAGAGTCTCGTCCTGGCAGCTGGAAGTAACGGTCATTTGTCTACGCTTCGGTTCATCCTGAACCATTCCCCTGGACGTGTTGGTACTAAGTAACTTCTAAGAGTTACTTCCTAGGTCCCTTGGAACCAACCCTAATCCTTTACTCACCCTTGACTCCAAGACCCTCTAGGTGTTTGCTTCTCAGCCTGACTTTTCCCTTCAAATCTGAATTAAGTCATGGATCTCAGGGGCCAGCTCACTGTGTTTCTGCCATGTTTGTGTTGGCTGGACTCCACCTGGATGGTTCTTTGCACTGTAATCCTAAGGGGAACACCCTAAGCGGGAGATAGAGGCCTGGGGTTGAGTCTCAGCCCTGCCCTTATCCAGTTGTATGACTTGGCTCCTGCCCCTCATTTCTCCCTCAGTTGTTAGTTTCCTCAATATTCAATAAAATGCCCCTGACCCTCGTGGAACTGCTACAGAACACTCGGTGTTCTCAGGAGGGTGTGTTGGGGGTAGGGGCTAAGCGCTGTAGTGGGCAAGGTGGGTCAATAAAATGGGTGTGAGGGGGCATCTCTTCCAACTCAGTGTCCCCTGCTGGGTCATGGCTGTGGTTAGGTCTGCCCTTCTGTTGCAAGCCTACTATTTTGTTGACAGAGAGCTAAGCTAACGTCTTGTCCCAGTCCTTAACTCAGTCCGGGCAAGGAAAACCCTGATCTCGGAGCTTTTCCCCTTTCTAGCTATTAGGTGATTCATTACAACACCTTAGGGAAAGAAGGAGAGGGGTTCTCAGTGCTAGGAAATTTACTTCTGAAAGAGACCACATTGAGAGAAGCCTAAGGAGGAGGGAAAACAAGCCCTGGAAAATAGCCAGCATGGGGTTGAGAAAGAGCTTTTGCATCTATGTAACCATCAGCTGGCTTAGGTAATGGAGACCATGCAGATAATTTCTCATAATTTAGATCTGCAAGCTTGAGCACTTGAGGTTTTTTTAAAGTACTTATTCCTTTTTCAATGATTTGCCTAAGGTCAGGTTTGCAAATCCCAGTCAGCAACGGGGGCTCTGGTTATGGCTTATGATCTGGCTTTCCAGAAATGGGAACAAAGTCTGTTTTTACGTCTCTTATTAAGCAGTAATGTTAGGTAGTCCTAAGAAGTGAGTGTTTAAGAAAGCCATGCAGGTTACAATTTGTTTCCTTTCTCTGTTAATACTTCACTGGAGCCAATTTTTACCCCCATCACCAATAACCTTGGACTTTATGCAAGGTAATGTGTCACACATCTGGGTTCTCTTGATTTAGATGGTGGAGTCCTCCCAGGGGGCTTGTTCATAGCTTTGGTGTCTGAGGTGCAGGGTGATGTGGCATCAGAAGCCCCCCACCACACCCCCAAATACCACCCCCCTCCCCCGGTCTCTCTTTTTACCTGTCATCAACTTCCCCTTTCTCTGACTAATCCAGGGAAAGGTTTGATTTTCTTTTGTTCCCCTTGCTCTCCTGGTGACAGGAACTAAAAGGGAGGCATTATAACTGGGCGGGGACCCTCTCCAATAAAGGCATGACCACCTCTGGCTTTCTCCACAACTTCACTCTCAGCCTGGCTGAGTCTCGCGTGAACTGCACTTTCTGGCTCACCAGGAAAGTTTGTATCTTTACTCTGACTCAGCGCTTGACATTTTCTAGTGCTCCAGCTTGTTCTTTTTTTTTTTTTTTTTAAGATTTTATTTATTTATTTGACAGAGAGAGACACAGCGAGAGAGGGAACACAAGCAGGGGGAGTGGAAGAGGGAGAAGCAGGCTTCCCGCCGAGCAGGGAGCCTGATGCGGGGCTCGATCCCAGGACCCCAGGATCATGACCTGAGCCGAAGGCAGATGCTTAACGACTGAGCCACCCAGGCGCCCCATCCAGCTTGTTCTAAAAGTGCTTCATAAAATGGCTTGCAGCTCATCCAAAGCAAAACCTATTAATGTATATTTACCCTGGATTTTAAAACAGAAGAGCAAAGTGGTTTACTACAATCAGCAACGCAGTCAAGTTCTTCCCTGTGAAAGAACTCAGGTCTAGGATGACATTTCCACAGCGTGGAGCACTGGTTCTCAAGGCAGGAGACATCTTGGTTGTCATGATTTGGGCAGGGGGCGGGGGGTAGAAGGGGGACTATAGCGTCTAATGTACAGAGGCCAGGAATACTGCTAAACATCTTACAATGTAGGGGACAGCCCCCCCAAAGAAGGATCCAGCCCAGGGGCGCCTGGCTTGCTCCGTTGGGAGAGCATGAGACTTTCGATCTCAGTGTCATGAGTTCAAGCCTCACATTGGGTGTAGAGATTACTAAAAAACAATGAGTAAACTCAGAAAAGAATGATCCAGCCCAGAATGTCAATAATGCCAGCAACAAGAAACCCTGGCTTATAGGAATCTACCTCCTATGAGTCTTCCAACAGGAGAGCTGGTTTTCCTCTCTAGATGCTCATGCCCACCTCCAAAGGTGTCCTGAGCACATCCCACCTGACAACTCCAGGCCCTGGGAAGAGATGCCGAGTCCTGCTCCAGGGACTAACCTTTGCGTTTGGGTCAGACGCTAACCTATACCTTCACATCCGAGTATCTGCTCACTCAGCCTTCACCTTCTGCTCTCTCTTTTCCTGGTGTTCCAGATGTTTCCAAAGGGGGTAGAAATTTAATATACTGAGAGTAGCTGTCATCAAGAAAGAACCATAGAACAGAGGGCCTCTCTGTTGCAAGCCCTCTGGGAGGGAGAGAAGAGCACTTGGGGGTCAGTCCCCACCCATCCTGTTTGGTCCAGAGCGAGCCAGGCCAGTGGGCACTGCCAACCCGGCCCCAGGGGACTGTTTCCTACTTCAGAACCCAAGAGGGTAGAGAAGTACTCTGAAAAAAAAAAAAAAAACTGGTACTACCCACCAGATTCTATTTTTTTTTAAAAGATTTTATTTATTTTAGAGGAGAGAGAGAGAGAGAGCAAACAGGGGGAGGGGCAGAGGGAGAAGCAGGCTCCCCCCTGAGCAGGGAGCCTGACAGGGGCTCGATCCCAGGACCCCAGGATCTCGACTGAGCTGAAGGCAGATGCTTAGCTTAACTGACTGAGCCACCCAGGTGCCCCCACCAGATTTTATTTTTGTGGTGATTGCTCTATTACCAAAAAGAAGCAGAAACTACAAGTGTGCATAAACCTAGGGTTCCTTCAGTACTTACCAGCATATTCGAAGTTTTAGTATTTTATATTCATATTGCTTTAGGAAACACAGCCTGAGGCTCTTTCTTTCTTGTGTCTGATTGCAGAGCCCCTGGGGCTTAGGGGGAGTGGGAAGCATGGGGTCCTTCAGGTCCTTCCAGGTCAGGTTTGCGTTGGAGGTGGGAGTGCCGCCCAGGCCTCACCTCAATGCGTGGAAGTTTACACAATGGCTTGACTTCGCGGTCAGGCTGATTCATCCATTTGGCCGTTGACGTCTGCCTCTGGCCCAGCCAGGACAGAAAGGGGCCCCTTAGGAACTTCTGGCCCTGTTCCCTCTCAAGGGGACGCACAATAGAGCTGTGATAAGACAGGGTTTGAGGGGGGAAGTGGACTTTTGGAAACAGGATATTTTTAAATTAGAAAAAGAAACAGAAGGGTTGTGGCCCCCGTTGTGACAGGTGGGCTCTGAGACTTCCCCAAACTCAGAAGGGACTGGGTTTGAGGTTGGGCCTCTGAGCAGAAACTGGGGCCCCTTGGAGTACATCCCTCTAGTAACACTGAGGACTCGGAGGGCAGGGGTGATGGCCCTCCTGCCATCACCTCCACCACCTTCAAGAATGGCGACCATCCCCCACACCCACATCTCCCTTCGCCAGACAAGAAGTCCCTGTGGTTTCTCTGTCTTCGGGTCTGTGTCCATAGGGGCTGTTTGGGAATCAGCCCCAACCATGTGGGCCCCTGCCCATTTAGAAACTGCTATTAGTGAGGGCCTGGTCCTTTCCAAAGGGAAAAACACAGCCCTCTCTTGCCAGTGGTAGCGAAAACCATCTCTAACACAGGCGGGGACGGCACACCCTCAACACAATGTCTCCCGTTCTCGGTGGCCTTCCTTCACCTCACTCTGATCTTCTGACATTTGGCCAGGCCCATCTAAAGCACTGCAGCCTGGCAGGGGCAGCCAGTCCCTCTGGCAAGAAGCCAGTGTTGAGATGAGGCTCTTCGGGGGAAGGGGGAGACCATGCCATCCCAGACAGCCCTTGGGTCCTTGGGCCGTATTTCCCAAGAGCAGTGGGTGATGTTTATACCTTCTGCTCCCTTGATCCCACTCCTGGGAGTGGACAGATTAGTATGAAATATGGAAATAGCTTTATTGGCAAAGAGGATATGGCAGCACTATTTAAAATAGCAAAAACTTGGGGCGCCTGGGTGGCTCAGTTGGTTAAGCGACTGCCTTCAGCTCAGGTCATGATCCTGGAGTCCCGGGATCGAGTCCCACATCGGGCTCCCTGCTCAGCAGGGAGTCTGCTTCTCCCTCTGACCCTCCTCCCTCTCATGCTTTCTGTCTCTCATTCTCTCTGTCTGAAATAAATAAATAAAAAATCTTAAAAAAAAAAATAAAATAGCAAAAACTTGGAAAGAGCCTAAATTTTTAAAGTAAGGGACTGGATAACAATTGCACATCTATTGAATGATAATTACGCGGCTACTGCCAGTTAGGTTTAAGAAGGCGCCAGAGAATATTTGTAAAATCGTGTTATGTAAAAAAGATAGGCTATAAAAATGGTCTCTATTGTGTATCAGAACTCAGAAAAAAAGCCTCTTGAGAGCAGAAAATCACTGGAAGACAAAAGCATCAGCAGGGTTTGAATCAGCTGAACCACCTAGGCGCCCCCACCAGATTTTATTTTTGTGGTGATTGCTCTATTACCAGAAAGAAGCAGAAACTACAAGTGTGCATAAACCTAGGGTTCCTTCAGTATTTACCAGCATATTCGAAGTTTTAGTCAAACAGAGATCATGTTTATCTGCTACTTTTCTTCTCCGTAGTTTTCAGGGCTTTTTTCCTGAAATAACATGTGGTACTAATTTAACAAACAAACAAACAAACAAACAAAAAACCTCTTTAAGGGGCACCTGGCTGGCTCAGTGGAGTGTGTGACTCTTTTTTTTTTTTTTGAAGATTTTATTTATTTATTTGAGAGAGAGAGAATGAGAGAGAGCACATGTCGGGGGGGAGGGTCAGAGGGAGAAGCAGACTCCCCGCCGAGCAGGGAGCCCGATGCGGGACTCGATCCAGGGACTCCAGGATCATGACCTGAGCCGAAGGCAGTCGCTTAACCAACTGAGCCACCCAGGTGCCCGAGTGTGTGACTCTTAATCTCAGGGTCATGTTCAAGCCCCACCATGGGTGTAGAGATTACTTTAAAAAAATAAAATAAAATCTTTAAACTGTTTTAAATGTCCAATGAGCTGCCGAGGATTTTATATGCTTGTCACATGGGGCTACAGGGTCCAGAGGAAGCTGTCTTGTGGGCAAAGGAGCCATCCAGCTGAGCACCCAGTGAGCCTCTGGCTCAGGGGTCTCCTTCTGCATCCCCCCCACCCCTTCCTTTACCACGGAGTTCCTGAGATGGGTTGGGGGCAGCCTAAGGCACTCTCTGTGTGTTCTTACCTCCATGTTATCCTTTGTTTTGCAGATTTCATGGAAAACAGATATTCTGTAAGTACACATTTCATTAACATTTTTTAAACAGTCCACCAAACAGTGTAATATTTCCAAACTCACCCAGATTCTGCATTCCCACTAATTACACCCCTACAGCAGCCTTTTCTGTTTTAGACCAGGAGCCCCAGGCAACTCAGAACTAGCCTGGGACAGTGAAGGTTGGTCATCAGGCTGGCTGGGTGTTCTGGGCCTGTTGTGATTTCAAATATTCTCTCCCACTGTTCCATCATTACATCTCAGCCCTCCTGTGAAGGGATACCACCCCCTCCTCCCCCCACCGTCACCACCACCATAGGACTGGGCATGTAGGGCACTTAGCTCCCCATGAGCAAAGTGCACATTTCCTCCTAGTCCAGGTTCAGGCTTTGGAAGTGAGGCAGACTGGGGGGTGGGTGGGGGGAGTATGCTTGAGGAGGGGAGATCCAACAGCTCACTTAAACTTTGAACTCTGAGAGCCTACGCCATCACCCCAATACACCAGGCCCTCTGCTGTCAAGGTCCTTGACCCAATAAGGGAATTAGATGAGTTAACACTGATGAGAGAGCAAGGTGATCATAACTCACAAGACGCTATGGAAATGCAGAAGAGAGACTGGCCTGGTTAGTGGTCTCCTTCCCAAGGAAGGTGTCGCTGGGATGGGCCATGAGGAATGAGTCTGACCACAGCAGGCCAAGCAGCTCAGAATGGGAGGAGAAAGGGTGTAGGGGACAAGTGCTAGGAAGAGGTCAGTTAGGGCTTGCACTCAAAGGACTCCAATGCCTCGATACAAGGTTTCACTCTGTAGGAAATTGAGGATTTATGAAGCTGCTACTTGGCAGAGGGATATGTTTTTTAAAAATGTAGAGGTCCAAGTTTAAATTTTGCCAAGACCTGTCTCCTCCTGTCTTCCCATTCCTGACCTCTGTACGAACTACCCAGCAGTGCAGGGGTTAACTAACTGGGCAGCTAGTACCTTGAGAAATGAGGAACTGCTTCTTTAAGGTCTGGGAAGAACTCTCTGCAAAATTGCTGGTAGCCCTTCCAATGGGCCCCCTGGCTTCCTTTGTTTTGCTGGAGTCTGAATTCTTATAAAATAGGGAACTCATTACGCCTTTGCCGGCAGGAAACCACTGACATTCTTTTTATGGAGGAAAGCTATCAATTTGAGGAAAAGGGGAATGAAATGAATGTCTTTTTCTAGCCTAAACCCACCCAGACTCCTGAAACCAAAGACTTGCATTGGAAGGGCAGGGGGCCCAATTTATAGGTGAGAAAACTAAAGGCTGAATGAGCAGAAGAGCCTGGCCAGGGACACCCAGCTAGGTCATAGCAGAGCCAGGACTAGAACCTATGTCCCCGGACTCCCTGGCCAGTCCACGACACAAGACTCCCTTGAAGAAGTGACATCACCATTCCAGCCATCACAGCCTTGAGAGAGTGGAAAGTAAGAACTTTGCTCCACGGGCAGTGTGACCCAGATAAAGAGATGCTCTCCAGCTACAATAAACAGAGCTGTGTCCACCCAAGGCAGGTCTGCTGGACCTGCGGGACCGACTTATTTACTTTGTCTTCAATCCAAACGGTCTCTCTGGACAAAGGCTCTAGCTCTGGGACAGATAGAACTTTCCTTTCCCCCAGAAGTTGGCCCGTGGGTCCAAAAGTCTGCTCCCGGGATGCTCCTGAGAGCTCACCCACAACCGGACCTGCTTTCCAAAATAATAAAGCCTTTTGGCGGGAGCTCTGGGGTGCCCAGCCGTTAGGAAAGAGATTTTTGAATCTTTAAGCGAATGCATTTTGTTTATAAAAGTGGCAGGTATAGTTTTGCTAATAATCAGCTGGTGAGGGTCAGGAGAAAATTAATTGAATTGCCCAGCAGGGAAATGGGAGGGGATTTCCTTCCTGAAATCAAACCTGGCGATCATTCCCAGTTGTTTAATGGCCGTTGCTTCTGAAAACACACTGGAGGAAATATCTTAACAATGAGATAGCCACTTAGCCAAATACTAATTTAGTATTGTTTGACTTGCTTCAATGGCACATTCTGACTTCATTTTTCCTCTGCCATTTTTGCCTTGTTTATAAATTGTGTTTGTGGCCCAGGCAGACAGATAACGCAAAAGAGAACACCTTGTACTTAAATGAAAGGGGGTGAATCTGGACCTTCCTGGGGCTCGGGATCTTGCAGACAGCCTTGCCTTCTTATTGCAAAAAGGCAGCTCCCAGTCACTGCTGACCTCCTTCCTTCCGGGGAGCCAGCCGACCCCTGGGCCGCGGTGGGACCTGGACTATGGGCGCCGGCCCTCCAGCTGTCTTTGTGGTGATCCTGTCCTCCTCAAACTAAGCTTCCCAATCTGTAAAACGCTGATGGTGAGACCAACAAGAAACACTACCAGCCACCCATTAGAAGGGTCTTAAGGGTAAAATGAGGAACACGTGTGCAAAGTATTTTGCAAACTACCATATAAATGTGGCTTGGTTCTCTCTTTAAAGTCCTTTTCATCACTCTGGCAGTATGAGGTATGGATGGGGGATTTACATCACTTAGCCCTGAAATGCCTCTTCCCAGGATTCAACCAAAGCCAGGCTTTGACTTAGGAGCCAGAGACCCTCCCAACCCCCCAAACCTAACCTTTCCCTGATGAGCTATTCGCTAGCCATGTCACTTTGGGCAGATTTCTTAACCTCTCGAAGCCTTAGTTTGTTTCTTCATCTGTAAATTGGAGGTAATAACCACGCCCCCCCCCCAACCTGGTTGTCGCAAGGATTAAATGAGGATCTAGCACAGACTTGGTTTATTGGAAGCGCTCTATAAGGGGCACATTCTAGAAGCAGGAAGTAGAAATCCCAGGGGTGTTAGAAGCAAAATGACCTTTGAGAGTGTCCATACCATGTTCTGGCCAGAAGTGGGGCGATTTCGTGGCCGTACTTGGGTGGCTGACAGCTGGCCTCTGATTGAAGCACCGGGAAGGACAGGTCTTGGATGTGAGCATGTTAACCTTTACTTCAAGGTCCGGTTGCCGGTAGCCCAGCCCTTTCCATCCGCAGTCCTCACCTCGCCTGGCGAAGGAGAATGGAGGCGTCTAGGGAGGGACTTGGTCTGGGGCCTGCAGGAAGGCTGGACACCAGGGTCACCCCTCTGGGCAAAGCGGAAGAAATGAAATGAAGGGAGCTGCCAGGGCTGGCAGGCCTCCAGCCTCCTGGGGCCGACACTGCTCTCTTGGCCCGCTTGCCAGGGTCTCTGCTGGCAAAGGAGAAGGCAGAGCCTGGGCCTACCAGCTGGAGCCCTTTGGACCTACATCCTGTTCTGAGAGGCTCCTCAGACGTGGCAGGGCCAAAACAAAACAGGGACTCGACCTAAGCGCCACCCCCCCCCCCCCACCAAGGAGCCCACCAGCCTGGCCACGGGGCTCCCAAGACCCTGGCTAATCCCCACAACTGCCCCCACGCTGGCCTCCTTGAGGCCCCCCCGTGGCAGGGTGCCCTGTGCTCACAGAGGGGCCAGAGTCAGGGACTCGTTTGCCGCCTGCCCTTCGGGGCCCAGGGCCCCTCTACTCTAGCATTTCCCATCTGCTCCTCTCTTGGCGCCTTTACTACATCCATTCGTCCAAATCTGCCCCACCTTGGAGGCTGGCTCTATGATGCCTTCTGTGAGACCCCGGGGAACTCCTGGAGACTGTTGGGAACTCTTCCACGTGGATATAATGTAAAATTCATGCATCCTCAGTAGAGATAACAGTGCTTGGGTCGGAGGGGGGTCCAGTCCCTGGTGGATGTGTAGGTTTCAAAAACACCACACAGGGGCACCTGGGTGGCTCAGTTGGTTAAGCGACTGCCTTCGGCTCAGGTCATGATCCTGGAGTCCCGGGATCGAGTCCTGCATCGGGCTCCCTGCTCGGCAGGGAACCTGCTTCTCCCTCTGCCCCTCCCCCCTCTCATGTGCTCTCTCTCATTCTCTCTCTCTCTCAAATAAATAAATAAAATCTTAAAAAAACAAAAACACCATACAAAGCAGTTAGAGAACACAACAAGATGGCAGGTGGAATCTTTTTTTTTTACTTTATTGTGCAAAATATACACAACAAAATTGGCCACTTTAACCATTTTTAAGTGTCCAGTTCGGTGACACAAAGTACGTTCGCATGGCCGTGCAGAAGCTACCACCCACCATCCACCCACAGAACTTTTTCATCCTTCCAAACCAAGACTCTACCCATTCAACACTAACCCCCCACTTCCCCTGAAAACTAGAGTTTTCCTTTCTGTCTCTATCAGTTTGGCGACTCTGGGTACCTCATGTAAATGGAATCACACAACATTTGTTCCTTCGGTGTCTGGCTTCTTTCCCTTAATGGTGTAGTGTCTTCAGCGTTTATCCGCATTGAAGCCCTTCGACTTTGCAGTTAAAAAACAGACCTAGAGAAAGTTCATCTCATGGGAGAGGCAGACCTGGAACAAGAAGCCAGGTCTCTCTTAACTGTCCTAGTCTCGCTCTGCGGGTAACGGGACCCCCCACCCGGGCCACAGCCCCAGGTGTACAATGGGTGCTTGATGGAGTCGGTGGATGTTCAGATGTGCGCCATGCCTCCAGGGAGCAGAGCTGGTGTGGACAGAAGGGAAGAGCGAGTGTGGCCAGGAGCTGGCCCCACAGGGTGGAGGTCCCGGCTGAAGACATCACTGCTTTGGGGCCTTTTTGAAGGGCTCTCTGCAGTTCTGCAGTTCTGCATGTCTTTCCACCAGGCCCGTCTTCAGTCCTGAAGGGTGTAACCACAGCTTGTCTTCTCTCTCGTCTCTACAGAGAACGGAAGGCTCCCTTGATGGAACTTAAGGCTGTGGGTGTAGACACTCCTCCCCAGGGGGGATGTCCAACATTCCAAGAAGAGCAGATGATTCCTGTATTCCAAGAGCTCTGTGCACTTATTTATGAACCTGCCCTGCTCCCACTGCACATAGCAGTTCCTCAGGCCATCTCACCAGTTCTTCATCCATCTTACGACCTTGATGTGGGGCATAGAGA